TGGGTTGGTATCCCCATAGCAAGGGAGCAGGGAGCATGCATCCCACAGCCCACATGCCCTTCAGCATTGTGGTTTCCCCAAAAACTGGGGGTCCTCACCCTAAAGCACCATGTTGATGGGGACCCGGCTCTTTGGCACTCCTGTAACCAGGAGACAGAGCCAGCAAGGGGAAGGGGGGCTTATGTCCCACCAACCTGCTCCTCCCATGGGAGGCAAGTAGGTGGATAGCTTCTCCCTGGAGAACTAGTTTTAGAGATCTCTCAGACCTCCAGTTCACCTGTGCATGCAGGTAAGAAAAAAATTAAACAAAACCCCCCACATGAGAGAAAATATTTTATTGTTCTGTTTTTTAACTAATTTTTACCTTTCCAACGTCCAGCAATATCCAAGGCTGTCCTGCGGCGTCCCTCCAGTGTTCTCGGGTTAGTGGACAGTAGCATTGTAAATTTGACAATTGAGTGTTAGCAGAGAGGAAGAAGGAGTATGGCCCTCTTTGCTACTGACAACTGTGGATTAGACACCGCACGCACCTGTGAAGTGGTTAAGGTTCAAAGTAGGGATGCACCGATACAGTTTTTTTTCCCGGTACTTGCCAATACTGGTGCCGTGTGCCCAGGATCATGACCCATCGCCCAGCTTCCTGATTGCCTGTGAAGTCGGTATTCAAGTGAAAGAACACCGGCTTTACTTGCCGAGGCTCTCTGGCTTCCTGACTAATCAGGAAGCTGGGCGGCGAGTCATAACCCCCCTCCCGGCTTCCTGATTGTTTAGGAAGTCAGACTGCCTAGCACCAAGTGAAGTAATCTTCCTAGCCAATCAGGAAGCGGGTCATAACCCACCACCCGGCTTCCTGATTGGAAAGAAAGCCGGCTCCATGCTCCCTTCGCACTTGCGGTCAGATGGTGATGTTCCTCTGACTGGAAGTTCCAGTATCGGAGGTAAGTATCGTAGCATTTGGCAGAGTACGAGTTCCAAGTGACTGTTACAGCAGAGTAGGGAATCTTCTCCAGGTGCTTCTCCACAATCACATCCCACTGCAGCTCTACAGACTCACAGTCTTACCGATTACAGATTACAATGGACAGGGCATCACCAGAATACATGTTTTTCAGCAGTCCACTATTGACTAAATTGCAAACAGCAGATCACCCATTCCTTTTTCTCTGAATCTCTTTGAGGGGGACTTTGGATTCCTGACACCAAAGCCTCTGAGTTGGCTGATTACACCCAAGTTCTTGGGCTAGCTACTTGTCCAGTGGTTCCAACCATCTTTGCAATATTTACCTTTCTGTGGCCATTGGGAATCCCTTTCTCTTTCTGAAGTAACTGCACCACCATCTGACCATCATTTATGGTCTGTAAACAGTAATAATGTCCACACAAATATAGTTAACTTTTGAATATTCTGTACTGTATCATTATTCTATTCATACAACTGTACTTTTAAGTTAACATGCCACTGGCAGAATTTTTAAGATGTGGACCATTTTTTGCAAAAGCACGATCAGACCATACACACTTCCTATATTTTTTATCTGATTCAGACTAAACTGAATACATTAACTGAGTAAAGCACTTTATTTTCTAATGTGGTAATGCTGCTATTCTTCTAGGTCCTGTACATTTGATGACTCTTTAGCATGAACTGCATGTTCGAGATCTCCCAAAGTGGCTCAATGATGTTAAGGATAGAAGATTGTTATGGCAACTCCAGACTTGACCCTACGTTTGGGATCATTCTCATATAGAAAAATACAAGTGTGCCCCATGAAGTGGAATAGCAAAGGATCAGACCAGACAGAAACTTCATTTAGCAGGTTAAATGATACCAGTCGCAGCTGGGAACAAGCAACAAGCAGGGCCGGATTTCCCATAGGCAACATAGGCATCTGCCTTCAGTCACCCTCCAGAGACGGGAGAAGGGCGCCGCCTGTCTGTATATTTATTTATTTGGTACAGTCCTTCCAGCAGGGATCGGAATGATGCGCAGCTCGTGGTTGCGGAGTGGTGTTGATGTTGGAGCCCTACCTACCCCCTCCTCTCCAGATTTCTCACAATGCCTCCATCCAGTGTACAGCGGGAGCTGCTGGGGCTCCTGAGAGCGACATGCTGCTCTCCCGGGGCCCCCCGGCACAACAGGGGCCCCAATCCTAGCCAGGCATTGGCTGAAGAGGGATCTGCTGAACCACCGGACAGCTGATAGTTAATGAGCCGGGCCCTGCCGGGTGAGGGGCTCAGCCGGTGACCCAGAATCGGGTGTCGGGAGGATGTAAAGCCCCACCGAGGACGAGAAATGCAGAGTGGGTGAGGACAAGAAATACGGACAGCCAATAATATATTTTTTTCTAAGTCCTACCGGCCAGATGTGGGGGGCCGCATGGGGGAGGGGGCGCTTCAGATTTCTCTGCCTACAGGCTCCTGAGAAGTAAATCTGGCCCTGGCAACAAGTAGTCCGCAGGCTCCTTTTTAGAAGACATTTTACAATACAACCAAATGGGCTACAATATCATTGGCTGCCAAGTCCTACATCATTGCAACAACCATAAATTCCTGCCTCCTTCTAAATTAATTCTATCCCAGCCCAAGCGCATGGACGTAACAAGTGCACACGTGCCGATTGTGTCTTGTATGCTCCTAGGGTTCATCCAAAGTTAATCTATACAGTATATGTCTGTATAGTGCTGCTCAACTTCTAGGACTAAATATCTTTACATAACATTAATAATAATGTCTATGCTAATTAATATCAACAACATGAAGTTTATGGGTTAATATCAAAATTCCACTAAACCCATTCACAGCTTCCAGGCTGAAGAATACAAATTTTCCTCCAATGTTTTCTAAAAGTATGCTGCATTCTTGCTATCAGCTTTGACTAAATTCCCTGGGCCCCCGTAGCTCAAATACCCACAAAACATAGAGATTCACCTTCATGCTTTAAGACAGAGATGGTGTGCTTCTCTTCACAGGGATTGCTGACTTCTCTCCAATACAGTGTTTATTCTGGTGACCATGAAGTTCAACCTTTTTACTCCAAGTGATTTTGTTATAAATTATAAAGCTTCTCCAGTTGCTATTTGGAGTATTGTAAGCGGCTTGTTTTGTGGTGTTTGTGCAGCGAAAATGGCGAACATTTTACAAATTCTAATGTAAACATATGAGCACAATTGCTGATGCAACCTTTGAGCACAAGGTCCTACAGCCAGCAATTTGAGCTGCAGGCTGCCCCCACTTTTGATATTGTTGCTTTGTGGGCTTGTAGCATTTTTGTTTGCTGTGGTGCTTACCCCTTAGACTACTTTTGGATGCCTCAGTGGTCTCAGATTGTACTTATCTATCTTCCTTTATGAACAGTAAAGAAAACAGTATTTTTGTACTCACTGAAGAAATTGTTTCTTAAAGTTCATTAGGGAACCCAGGTTCCACCCCTCTGTGTTTTGTTCAGGTAAGAGATGTCTGGGTCCATGATAAGAACAGTCATTGGATATTGCTGAGCAAAACGTTTACGAGGAGAGAAAAATGTGTCGTGTTTCCCAGTCCTTGTGCAAAATAGGTGTTCGTGTACTGGAAAGGTTTTCACAGTCTTAGGACCTTTATGGGAGCCTAGACTGGGGGTTTCAGACACAGGTTGCTCCAGTCTTAAACGTGTGCAATGCATCAATAAGAACTGATATGATATCTATAAGCCTAGGAAGCATGTCAGCAGAATGAGTCTCCTCAGGCATAAATTCATCCAAAGAGCTTTGGTGAGGCTCCTCATCATCCTCAGCTGAATGTGCAGTGGCAACTGAAGCTGCAGGAACATCAGAGACAGACTCCAGAGGAGAAGGCATAGGAGTACGCTTATGGCCCCTACATTCTGAATTGGCTATAATGGCATTGATTTTATTCATAAAATCTAGCATAGCGGTACAACACTAGCATAGCGGTTATTCCACCCTGAATAGCACAGAGGAGGGGGCCGAATCTGAGGGATTTAGGGATGACTCCGAGAAGCTTGCAGACTCAAGTAGGGAGCAACAATCCAGGGTGTCAGCATCAGGTCCTTGAGGAGGGACACTTCAAGCCACCCTGGAGCTGTTAGATGATCGTGAGTGAGGGAGGCCAATTGAACTGCTTCCTTTGCACTTATAATTTAATATACTGCAAGTAAAACCTTAAAGGAAACACAAAATAGATCTTGGGTACTCACAGCTATTGAAGCAGGGAAGACGGAAGTGACTTTGTCAATTTTAGGCAGCAGCAAGCACTAACTGAAGTAAACCTGAATCCCTCGTAAGGTGAGCTGTGGCAGGAAACTACCTCATGGTAAAAAATCAGGAAGAGACAGTGTAAGTGTGTGCCCAAGTGTGTGAGTGAGCCAACCTCATAAAAGGCAAAGCCTCACTTACCGTAGTTGTAGGCCTGGAAAGCGCTCTGTGGCATACATAAATGGTACTGAAGTACCGGAGCTTGCCACATGTAGAACCTAGTGAACATGTCACATTTCAGGCATACTTAGCCCTGAACATGGGCCTTCTCCCAAGAAAGTCTTCAGGGATCAGGATCACATCAGAGGCTGTGTCATGGCATTGTATAATGAGCTCAGTTCACAGCGGAGTGAAGAAATCTTGACACAAGAAAAAATATTCTTGATAAAAGTAAAACATGTCTAGAAAAATGGTTTAAAACTTTTCTCTGTGGAGAAAAGGCATCCATCCTCCAAGGACCCTAGCAAAAAACCGAAGCATCATTAAAGGGGAAGTGGTTATACTTGGCCAGCACACAGCTTTTGTGTCTGCCAATGAATCCTGTAGGCAGCAATATAACCCATCGGTTTTAGAATTTTACTGAGGAATGTAGTTATATATACTGTATAGTGAACCTGTGAGCCCATCTTAGCTTCTTAGGTGGTTCCAGGTCCCCAGAGCAGGCTTGTTTTAGTCACTTATGGCTTTGCTTGTCACTTACTGAAAGAAGCTTAAGTGAGCCAACAGTTTCATCAGTTGTCTGTGCACCTGGCTTTTAAGATGTGCTCAGTATTTAAGTATCAAAGTCCGCAATTACTAATTGTAACTGTGATTATTATAAGAACACAATGATACCTTCACATTCCAGTGCTGCAAAATATTCTTGCTTCATCTTCATTTGCAATTCCTGTTGCCTCTGCAGTTCTGTGTTGTCCACGGGTGCTGCAGGGGTAGGTGAGGGCGTTGCAGGCCCAGGCGACTTCCCTCCTGTGGCAAATGAAAAATTCTCAGAACTTCATTTCTTTTACATCTGGACAGTTTTAAATCATGTGAGTTTGCAGCCCTAAGCTGGTGTGCTTCCTACAGAGGTACTGCTTTTTCTGATTTTGGCCATATGCTGAACTGTAAGCAAGCTTCTATTTACCACATTGACAATTTAGCCAATGGTTTACAAAGTGTAACAGCAGGTTGGAGCATGCTAACAATGGGTGAGAGATGCATATCTAGCTATCAGCCAAAAACAGTTGGTATGTATATAACAATTTGCAGCAATTAAGGTTGACTTTAACTGCTATTATGCAAGTTAAATTTTAATCAAACTGCTAAATGGTCATTTATCTTTGGCTACAAGGAGTGCGTGTGTGTGTGGGGCAAGCTATCATACCATAGGTACTTAAAGTAGAACTGTGATCAGACTATGGACACACTTAAAGTGACATTAAAGTAAAAAAAATGTTTTCCCTCCCCCCAATGTTAATGTTAGCACTTACCTTAAATGATGTCTCTTAATCCAATCTTCCTCTTCTTTCCTGATGTTTTAATCTGTCCCTCCAGCGGTGCGGCGGCTCTCCGATCCATCGCTGACTACTCTGTCCTTGCTAGCACTTCCTAACCCGCGGTGTCTGCATGCGTATGCACGCGTCCATGGACTAACCTTGCGTCTCTGCTCGTCTCCTGGCCGAAAATCCAAACTGCGCGTGCGCCGGCCCGGGATGCTTTGCGGCTGCCTGAGCAGTTTCGGATTCTCGGGCAGGAGCACGCCGCGAAAACGGGGTATGTTTAAACAGCAGTTAAAGCGGAAAAAACAACAACTTTTTGCATATATTTACTGCTTGCTAGCAGAGCAGTAGATATAGGCAAAAAAAACCAGAGGGTTTAGAAACCCTTTAACTATTGACATGTGCTTAATATAAAACAAAACGGTTTTAAAACAAGTCCTCACTGAACTCTGTAGCTGCAGGCGGCATGTTAGCATTCTAATCTGTAATGTAAATCGAGAGCATGAGTAGGGGAGAGGGAGAATAGAGTGCCGAGACCCTACTTAAACTACTTTACTTGATTTCTTGTGAAATTTGAGGAAGACTTGCTCCGCAGTGCATTCAGTTACACAGGTCAGTGAGGGTTTTTTTTTGTGAGAGATTCATTGTTGCTGCTTGTTAAGAATATGTAAATATCCAAATGTCCATAGCCTGGCCACAGTTCTTCTTTAAAACTAAGAAAAAAATGCTTGAATTCTGTTTGAATTTACATTTCACAGCATTTATAAATACATTACGTTGCCCCCCCCCATATCCCCATTTGTGTCAGGACTTACCTTAAATGATGCCTCTTTATTCGATCATCTTCTTCTTTCCTGTCATTTTCAACTGTCCCTCCAGCTCTGCTGCGGGTCTCCGATACAGCGTCGATTCCTCTGTCCTCCTCTCCTCTGATGTCCCACGGAGTCTGTGTGTGTGCACGCTGCTCCATAGACTTACCTTGTGCCTCTCCTCGTCTGCAGGCCGAACATCTGAACTGCGCATGCGCCCACCCCAAGATCCTTTGCGGCTGCCCGAGACTCTTCAGATGTTCGGACAGGAGCTTGCGACGAAGACACAGGTAAGTTTAAACCTGTTTTAAAAGGTTTTAAAAAAAAAAGTTTTTGCATATAGCTACTGCTTGCCAGTAGTAGCTATATGCAAACAAAAACGTGAGGGTTTAATAACCCTTTAAGGATTATGCAGTTTTTATCTAAATATTCACCTTGCTTTGCTATGCCATATTTACATATATAGATATATAAGCTAGTGGATATCTGTACATCAGAAAACATATAAACATATGCTATGTGGTACATAAAAATGAGACATTGAGGGCCTGCATTCTGTCTTGCGTTGTCACCTGTAATACAAGTTTCTCTCTCAGAACATGTGTGCATTAATATTACCTTTTTTTCTGTTTGGTGACTTTGACTTTGGTGACTTTGACTTTGGAGGCTTCTTTTTTGCCCCTTTTATGTTGTCTCTGGAAGTTGCCCGAGAAGTTTTAAGCCGCTCCTTCTCCCTAATTTCCATCATCTGGCGTTTCTTCTCTTCTTCTGCTTCTAGTGCTTCTTTTTCAAGAGTCACCTTCAATCACATGACAGAGACTGTTATGAAATATCACTTATTGCAACAGACATTGACTGCAGATGTAAGGGATATCTACCAACTCAAACACTATAGGCCAGCTATTTCTCCAGCAGGGTTCCATGGAACCCTAGGGTTCCTCCAGAGGTTGTTAGGATTGCCTTGAGCAGTGGCTGATTCATGCCCCATCTAATGGCACATAATAGTTCCAGGGCCAACGTGACTTGACAGAATCAGTGGTATAATGCCAATGATCTCTGTAAGCGTGGCATTCTTCCCACCGACCACTGCTGTAAGGAGGTCATTGTTCCCACTGACTACAAATGTAAGGGGTATTTTTCCTCTCGCTGACCATCATGTAAGGAGGCCTTCTCCCACACTGAACCCCAATGAAATGGGGCAATCTCTTTACATTGACCACCAATGTTAGGGAAGTTCTTGCTCTCACAGAACATAGATGTAGGGCACATGTCTCAAACACAAGGGTAGACATGTGCGATTCGTTTCATTCTGAATTGACATTTGTACAAATCTCTGCAAATTCGGATGCATCCGAATTCCTGAATGACAAAAATTACGAATCCGAACGAATCCAAGTGTTTGATAACGAAATTCGGATACATACGAATGTCATTTGGAACAAAACAGAGAAGCGCTATGTACGTGTCATTTACAGCTCTCGGCACTTTGCTGTCATTCTGGGACCCCAATGTTAAAAGAAAAACAAAACAGCGTGCGGGTCCCCGGACCCTTTAGGTCTGGTAAGAATTTTAAAGGGACCACAAAGCCAAAAAAAAAAAACGTGGAGTCACCCCTAAAATCCCTTACAGACCCTTAATCCGGGCACCAGCCTGGCAGGGCAGGAAAGGCAGGGGGCGAGCGAACCCCCCCCTTCTCCCTGCACCATACCAGGCCACATGCCCTTAGCATTTGGAGGGTACTTTTTCAGAGGGGGACCACCAGGAAAAGCATCTTGTCAACATGCCGATAGGGACAAGGGCCTCTTCCCCACAACCCTGCCCTGGTGGTTGTGAGGGTCTGTGGGCTAGGGGGCTCATTTGCATCTGGATACCTCTTTCATAAACGGGGCACCCAAATGCCGCCCCCTCCCCTTGTGAGTAAGGGGTACTCTACTCATTCACTAAAGGGTTAAAGAAAACACTTGTTTTTGACAATTTCCTTATTTTAAAAAAAAGTCCCACAATGTCAATCCAGCGATGATCACATCCACCAGCGATGTAATCCGAAGCTGCCGGCCGAAGGAAAAAATTAAACAGCTGACAAAAACAAAAGAAACAATTGCCGCTCTTTGCCCAATCGGGCAGTGGGCAGAGATAAACAAAGCCTGCTATTGGCTGTTACTTTCTTGTTCACCTGTATTTTCTTGATATCATGACTTACATCGCTCATATCTCTAAAGGTTCAATTTATAAAGGTGCATAACATTCTTTATATAAAGTGAAAGTAAACCCTAACTATAGACTTCTCTTATTTGCTCCCTTTTGGTCTGTTTCTTTTTGTTCTTGGGTTTAAATATGCTTTAAATAGTTTGTTTTGTCCACATATATCCTTACCAGTTATAATATGTACCATTTACAGGTGAACTATCAATCAAGATGTCTATACTATATACTGTATTGATCATAATGATAACTGATCATTTGACTTGCCCTGACTTTGTGGGAAAGTATGCTATAAAATGAAACTTACCATATTTGTGATAGTGGATAATGCCGTTTGCCATGTGTCATGAATAATTTTCTGATCAGTTTCAGACATCTGCCCACTGCTTTCATTTGAGGCATCCTCTTTTCCTTTCATTGCAACCTGCTTATTTCGCTGCTTGGCAGAGCTCGGTTCTGGAGACTGAGTTTTTCGAGGAACAAGTGCAATCCTTCAAAGAGGAAACATATTTATCAACCTTCAAAGTGTCTGAATATTAGATAAATCCTCTAAATATGCCCTTCCAAAGGTAGAATATGTTTCTTATAAGAATGTCAAGCTTGCAATCTTTCCAGTATAAGTAAAAGATATCACAGGGACAATAACACTGTTCTTATACACTATATAGCGCTATTCCTCTAGTGGTGCTGTGCAAAGTGATACAAATCAGCAATGAGTAATACAAATAATACTGAAACTTTACTGTGGAACTGTCATTAAAATTCCCACTATTAGGATCCCAGGTAGACAGGTTTTGTTCTTATCAAAACTGCTTCTGTCCCTTTACAGTATCTATAAAAAATGAGTCAAGGCAACTGGACTTGCTGCATTTTACTTAGAAAAATACAGCAAGTCCAGTTGCCTTGACTTATTTTTTAAAGCTATACCATGACCTGGATGAATGAGAACCTTCACAGACAATGCAAAAGAAGCTTGAAACAGGTTAATGTTAATATAATATGGTATTATAATGCTATTAAAAACATATGCAGAAGTAACACAATACAATAAGAGAGTCTTGACTTTACAAGCCTACAGCCTAGAGGGTTGGTTCTGCCAGTTCCAGCCTCAAATGATACCTGAAGGCAATATAAGTCAGTAAAACATTTACTGCTGATCTCCCAGAAGGGGTACATGAAGACCACCAATGAAACCGCTTCATACAGAAGGCCCTCATTCTATAGAAATGTATAGAAATCTTTTATACCTTTTGGGCAGTACAGGTTCCTCCTCTTTGGTTGAATTGGTAATTTCAAGCAAAGGAATACGGACAAATTCTTGGTTGTTTTCAGAAGGAATTTTGTTCTCCATTCCTTGATAATAATCATGAAGAAATCTCATTGTATCTTGAAATCGGTCAATTTCTGCCTGTGTAGAGAAACGCAAACAAAAGACTGATAAATAACAAATATTCAATCCTATAAATATCAAATGTACATTAGTTACCCTGTCTTAGAGGGACCTAAAACTGCAAATAGTATCACACGGATGTTTCCATATATGTCTATTGTGTGTTTTTCTTATTATGTTACCATGGTAAAACACATATTAAAATATATACGATAATGCTGGAAATACTTGTTCTGAATGTCCCTTGTCCCTGCAGACTCCACACTGGCTGGGGGCTTTTGGTCTCGGCCTTCTACATTATTTAATTCTATAGAACTGTCATCAAAGATGTCTAGAGGGTGCAACTACTTGAATTAAATAGTGTTGGGTCAGAATTCCAACAGTCAGTGTGTAAACTATGAGCAAACGAGAGATGTAGTACTGTTTACAGTGAAGGACAGCATGGAGGTGAGTGTTATTTAAAGATGGCCAAGTCAGCAGGAACCTAGATATGACCAGAATTTGACCAGTTTCAATTGACTTTTGTTGAAGGAGGCTGTTGGAAATTTTTCTCAGCCGAATCGTGACTGGAGCCAATCTGTAACAGTCACTGTTCCGATATCCTGATAGTAGCACACCCACCATTGTTAGAATACAACAGCCCAGCAGGGGGGAACCCTATATCTAAACTGGCTAGCCTAAAGCTGGCCATACACTGTTCTATTTGTTTTGTTCAACTAGTGGGCTGAATGAAAAAATAGAACAGATTCCTCCGTTAACAAAACAAACGCATTGATTGAGGAATCCCTGTGGTTTCTTATGCTGCTGGCCCACTGTCAGAATGCCCAACAGGGTCGGCAGCTCATTGGCTGCTGGTTCTGTTCGTTCAAAGTTTTTCCGACTGGCTCTTTCAGACAGCTGATCAAGGGATGCCAGCCGAAAGGATGCCAACAGCCCCACCCACTGCGCAAAATTTGCATAATGTATGGCCAACTTAACTCCCCTAATGCTTCTGCTTTACCTTTTGTACAGTTTTGACTTAAAAACAGTACAGACTATACTAGGCAAACTACTGCCCCCCATGGAACAAGTACAAGGCTCAGCCTGCTGGGCATGCTTCTAAATAGCTATATTGGGCTTTGCTTGGTATAGACCAGTTGTGGCGAACCTATGGCACGCGTGCCAAGGTTCAGGCACCACAACATTAAGGCAGCCGAGCTGTCTAATGTCGGCAGGCGGGCAAGCGTCAGTGGGCGAGCGAGCAAGAGGAGAAGGGGGACAGAGCGGCAGGGGGTGGAGACAGAGGGAGATGGGGGTGGAGATGAGAGGACGGGAGGAGACGGGGACTGAGCTGCATGAGACAGGGGGCGGAGACAGGGGGAGATGAGGCAAGACTGAGGCAAAGGCAGAGACCGCGATGGAGGAGGCGTCGCCAAGGGGCCAGTCAAGCGGCAAAGCTGAGACGATTGGGCCCCGAGGCAGCAGTGAAGGCTGGGCTTCCCGTGTAAGGTAGGAGCACTGTGCTGGCAGGGCCCAGCATACATTATGCACAGCCCACCAAAGAGTCACAGGGGGGCTGTGCAATACCTTTTAGTGGGCTTTGCAGGATCCATGGGGGCTCTGCAGCCTGCAAAGTCCACCACAGCCCCCCTGAGATCTGGCAGACTGTGGGGTCTCTGCAGGATCTGTGGGGGGCTTTGCCAGATCTCAGGGGGGCTGTGCAGGATCTGTGGGGGGCTTTGCAGCCTGCAAAACCCCCCACAGATCCTGCAAAGCCCCCCTGAGATCCGGCAGACTGCGGGGTCTCTGCAGGATCTGTGGGGGGCTGTGCCAGATCTCAGGGGGGCTGTGCAGGATCTGTGGGGGGCTTTGGAGCCTGCAAAACCCCCCACAGATCCTGCAAAGCCCCCCTGAGATCCGGCAGACTGCGGGGTCTCTGCAGGATCTGTGGGGGGCTGTGCCAGATCTCAGGGGGGCTGTGCAGGATCTGTGGGGGGCTTTGGAGCCTGCAAAACCCCCCACAGATCCTGCAAAGCCCCCCTGAGATCCGGCAGACTGCGGGGTCTCTGCAGGATCTGTGGGGGGCTGTGCCAGATCTCAGGGGGGCTGTGCAGGATCTGTGGGGGGCTTTGGAGCCTGCAAACCCCCCCCAGATCCTGCACAGCGCCCCTTAGATCTGGCAGACTGCAGACTCATGGGGGCTTTGCAGGATCTATGTGGGGTCTGCAGCCCCATAATGGGCAGAGCCCATTACAAATCCTGCACAGCCCCCCTGAGACCCTGCAGATCTGTGGGGGGCTTTGCAGGGTCTTGGGCCTGTGCAGGATCTGTGGTGGGCTCTGCCCACCATAGACCCCGCAGAGTTCATCACAAATCCTGCTAAGCCCCCCTGAGACCACAGCTTTCCTGCTATGCTAATAGCGGAACATGTCAAAAGCTGGATACAGTGTTTGCACTGTATCCAGCGACTGACAGGTCACGCAAAAAGTATTAAACAGGAAGGGGTGGGGTAAATTTAGTGGGGGTGGGGGCGCCCCAGTTTTGCCTTGCCTAGGGCAGCCCCAATATACCACTGCTTTCAGGGACCACCAATTGAAATAGATTCGACTGACCCGGATAGCCTTGGTATGCGATCCGGGCCAGTCACAATTAGGCAGCGGCAGCCAATAAACAGGTAGGAGTCTAATCTGCCTGTTTAGAGGTCACCACCGCTGCCTGATTGTGACCAACCCGACTACAGAGGCGACCCGGGACGTTCGGGTCCCCCGTGAGAGCCGTACAAGGCCGTAAGGCAGTGATGTTGAACGTTTCTTAAACCCGAGCGCCCAAACTGCAATACTAAACTTAGTTTCAGCGCTGGCAGTTTGAGATAAATACATTGATTTTGCGTCGCAGTTTGGGCACTCGGGTTCAAAAAGGTTCGCCATCACTGGTATAGACCATATTCACGTGCAAGGGTATTCCACAATGAACACAAGGCCCAGTAACACACGTCAGTCACTCAGAATTCCTCTTCCAGTCATCTGACTTCAAGAAATACATATCTGGCTGGCATGTACTAGTGCCCTGCAATTCAGTGTTGCTCCTTGCATTGTCTTAGTGAATAAGCCCTATAATGGGAATAGCAGCACCTGCCATAAAGATTTATGAAGCCAGCAATGAAAATAGTAACCGACAAAACGACAGTGCCTTAGCCTGGGAACATGAGAAAAACCACATTCACAAGCAGCCCACACTAGGAGATACAGTGCACAGAGGGCACACGAGTTCCTTTTCATGCTAGTAAGACTGTCACCTGCAGTTTGCAGGCCTCCTATATATTGGAATATATTAAAATGCAAACTTGTAAAGAAATTATTTATGAACTGTAAATACTTAGAGATTTCCTGCTGAGGGGCTGCACACCAGAGCTGCCAAAGTGTAGAAATACTTTCCGGGGAAACTGCTGCTGAGACAGTATACCTGACCTGGTCATACAGGATAAGCCCTTTCCCTCTATATTAATGATCGATTTGTCACTTTATGCCCCCTGAACACTCACAATATAAAACACATTACAGCGGATCTCAAACTCAAGAAGAAAATGTAATATATTGCAGCTTAGCAGTCCTTAGATGTTATGGTTGTATTAGCAGGGAACCCAATCCGAAATAAGTAATTTCAGGGAGGTGCCCTTCTCATTTCAGGGAGGTGCCCATCTACGGGGGGGCTATTGCTATTACACCCTATGGCTATGGCTATTGCACCCGCCCTCTGCTGCTGTTAGTTAGTAGAGGAGGATCTGATGGAGAACTTCAGGTCCACCTCTGCTGTTTGACAGCAGCAGTGGGTGCAATAGCTAATCAGCTATTGGCTATTGCAAATTGAAATAGCCAAAAGCAATCTAGCTATTCATTCCTAATGCTTTTTTTTTTTTTTTTTATTCTGAATTACTTCGGCCCCATGTCAAGAAAAAAAGTAAGCAGCAGAGAAAGGTTTACTCTGCTAGATATAGCAGTGTAAACCTTTTTCTGAGAACATTTTTCTCTCCCGGGTGTCCAGGAGCCCCTATCTAATAGCGGGAGACTCCAGGAACATCTGGGAGAGTTGAGATGTCTGTATTAGTTTGACATTTTCAAAATTCTTCCTTTAATTTAACTTGGTGATCCTTCCAGTAACACACTTTTCTGTCCTGAAGTGACAATGCCCACTCACTGTATTATATCTATAGAGGAGATGCGTTGTCACCCTAGGCTGGTTTAGACTACAAACAACCCACCCTTCCCTCAGCTCCATAACATTGTGAGGAGGTGTTCTTATAACTAGGAAGGATAATACCATTGTTTGAGCTTTCAGTTCAGTGCACAGGAAGCCCACGTATTTTCTGTACCTGCAGAATATGTACTTAGCTTAAACAAATTAAACTAACTCAGCCATCACATCTAAGGATTGGTAAACTGCAACATATAACAATTTCCTTTTTTTGGGGTTCAGATACACTTTTACTGTCCATGCATTTGCCAGATGAATTAGCATTCACCACTGTATGGCTTGTATGGCTTGGATTTCCAATTGTTTTAAGGGGAAACCGGCTCTCAGTACATTCACTGTAATTATTGGCCAGTGTTAAACTTCCTGGCACCATTTTCCAACATGGTTCAAGAGGACCTGCCACATTCAATCCCACTTTGCTATTTGCCGCACGTATTTGCTAAACCATGCATTACATGCAAATGTGACTCCATTCCTATTATGTATGAATGAAGTTAAAGCAGATTCTATTAAGTGATATCTGTACCGGCCCAGTAAAGATTAGGAGAGGCTTAACTAGAATACTTTGTCTGATTACCTGCATTAAAGAAAAGAAGTGGTTCATGAGGATCCCTAAGTGATCCTGCAGCCAGCCATCGTTCATGATGTCCGCTTGTTCCTGCTCAGCTTCTTCCTTCCTGTTGTCACATATGTCCCACAGGCGGTCTCTTAGATCCTTATATTAACAAACAATAGAGTAGAATTTTATGCATACAGTTAATTCATTACAATACTCTTTCATGCCAGATTTTTGTTTTTCAAAACAAAACTATTAAAGGGAACTGTATATAGTAGTTTAAGGGTGCAGTCGCACCGGAATCAGAACCAAAAACACCAGTCAACGGAGGTACATTGACTTACATTTGCATAGTCCGTTGATATCCATTGCGTTGCGTTACTTTTTTTGTTTGATTTTTACACTAAGCTATATAAGGTATAGGTTCTGCCTTTTGTCAAAACGCATTAGCAGTTCACATCCGTCCGTTACGTAGTGTTGCGCTGAAAAAAGTAGAGCCTGCCCTACTTCTTTCTTTCAGGGGAGGACAGCACAATGCAACACACTGGTGTGAACTGCTCCCATTCACACCCATTCATTTTCAGCTGTCCTTGCGATGGCATCCGTTGAAAAATGGATGCCAGTGTATCCGGTGTGAATGGGGCCTAAATCTTGCTGCGGTTTGTATGGCCTACAAATCCAATATTGATTAATTGTAGGAGCTGTTTTCATCACATTCACAGCCCAATTATTTGCAAGTTGGTGTTAGATAATAGGCTTTTTCTTAATCACCTTAAATCTCCACAATTTTGATAACCTGGATATCAGAAGGTTTTTTTTATTTTTTAATTCCTGCTTTAGCTGACCAGATCTAGATACATATCCAGACCAGATCATCAATGCATGTCAGACCCTGCAGGTTGCAAGAATAAGGAAATCCTAAGCTAAGAACTTGCATACAGTATTAAAGTTTATGTAAAGCCAAAGTCTATGTTTTTTTTTATGCACAGTGGTTTTATTGTATACAAATGAAGCATTGAAAACATGAATATTACATCAAACAGAAAGCTAATCTGTACATCAAATAGGCAGGCATATTTTAAACAAAACAAATATAATATATTTATTGTTATACAAGATTTATATAGCGCCAACAGTTTGCGTTATATTATGCATTATATAAATAATTTATTTGATCTATTCCAGATAAAAATCTTACAAAGTATTATAAGACAATATGATCAACTGAAGAAAAGAGTGATATAAAATATATAGCAGTTGATTTACTAAAGCAGTAGAACATGTTCACTTTGCAAAGTTAATTTTCACCTAGAGTGGTGAATATGTGAAGTTGTGTTCACTTTAAATACCCGAAAGCAGTAGGTCCCCCTGCACTCCTTACAGCCCTTCCGGTCCAAGTAGCAATAGTGGTGCTTGCAGTGATAATCACGGATGGCGCCGTGCACAACAGTCAATGAATGTCCCTCTCTGATCTGCCCAGATGAAGGGACCCTGCGTGGTCCCGAAACGTTGGATTATGCAATATGTGTGACGTTTAGTCCAAATAAATGGACATTTTTTGAATTTCATTTGCTGAGTGCTGGTGATTTCTATCATTCATTCACTTTGAATACTTAACATTGTGCAAGAAAAAAACTTTTTTGCTCACACGTGAATTGACAATTGAAACTAAATAAAATTTCACTTAGCGAAGTCAACATACGATTTACCAAATCAAGCCCACTATGCAGCACTGAATACCAGGCATAATTTAGAGAGATATTCCTTATATATTCCACTACAGTGAACACAACACAGGGAAAAGAACTTGCACATCTGTATATGTAAATATTATAATGTAGGCAATCCTTTCCTATTGGATACTGATAAGACTGAAGAAACACAACCAAAATAGGTTTTCATGTGTGCAAGGATTTATGTTTAGCTTAAATATATACATTTAGGTAGTGTTCAGTTTAAAAAAAAGTATTGACATCCTTGAAGCTTTCATGTTTTGTTATAGGACAATAAATCGAAATATAATTGTTTTTCTTTTTTACGTACTTAAGCCTAGAACAACAGGCTAATCCTCCAAATACAGGGAAGAATGTTCTGCATCAGTCAGGGTAGGAACAACTTGTAAATCTAAGGCATATGGAATTTGCTAAAATACAGTCTCTTGGCCAGAGATGGTAATAAGGGCCTCAGGCACACTTAAGAAATGGAGGCCAGTGGGGTCCGGATTAGACTCTGTTGTGGATGCTCCATGCTCCAAATCTTTGTTTAGTATGTTTGCCATAATTTCTCACTATATTTTTTATGGGATTTTTTTAGTGTGTGTGTGTTTTTTTTGCAAAGTATTTTTTTTTTTAATGTGGAGTTGCCAGTTAGTCTTCATTCACACCAGGGCGACAACATTTCAACACTTTGTAGCGCCTTTTTGCGTGTTTTATTTGTGCGCTTAAGCATTTTACAGGCATTTTCTGCTCATATGTAAGATTGTTTTAAGGCTCATTTTCAGTTGTCTAATGAAAAGCAGTCTCCGCTACAGAAACGTGCTAAAAAAAATAAATTTGCAATTAGCAGCAGCGTTGTCAGCCTGCCATGTGTGCTCCTTCAGTTTGCCATTAGGCTCCTTTATCAGATCTATGAGATAGGCAGGCCAAAAGCCAACTAAAAGATTTGCAAGGCAAGTTGACAATAACGCTTCTAATTGCCGGTTAGAGACTTAGGGCGTATTCACACCTCTCCGGTACAATGCATTGCGGGAACACATGCGTTAATGGACGCTGCATGCATTAGCGAGTTGTGGTGTCATTCATTTTTAATGGCGCCCCAATGCACTAACCAAACGCACCTCCCATGCATATGCATTGCAGCGTATTACAACACACAGTAAGGCACTACTGTGTGATGGGGTGTGCTGCATCAGAAAAACTGGTGCATGTCCGATTCTAGGCAGCCTATTTATTTAGACTTCAAAATGGGACATACACAATTTCTCTAAAACATAACACACATTAATGCGTGGCATTATGATAGGATCCCCAGGCAAGAAGATTTAAAGAGATTCACAAAAACTATTTGCTCCAGAAAACTGTATACAGTGGGATATGATGTCAAACATACTGAAAAATAGATTTTGGGTTTACATACACTTGCACTAAATAGACACATTGGATTCTGGCATCTGGATTCAGCATTCAGGAACTGAGAGAAATGGGGATGAGAATCTCCTTTTGACACGCAAGGTTATGATTTGCAATATTCTGATTCTCCACCAATAACAGTGTAGCCTTCTATCACCTGCCTTTGTAACAGAAACCTGCAAACTGTGTCATATAACATGGGTAAATGTGTCTTTTTCATATAAATGTTTAAATGTTTCATATATACTGTGTGTGTACTGTATATGTGTATATATATATATTTTGGACAATTTTACTCAACTATCACTGCTCACAGAGAGGGTCAGTTATCAGCCCTGAGCTCAGGCAGGAGACAGGCCAGCCTCTCTGGAGGGCTTACAGATTGTCAATGAGCTGACAACTCAGGGACAGGGAGAATGTAGAATCATATAACATGAGTGGTAAGGGTGCGCTATTACCATAACACCTAAAATGTGGAGATTTGGATTCTTACAAATGCCCATTCTTGACTCGCTATCTTTAAGGGAACCTATCACAACAAAAATATGGAGTTGCCATTGCTGGCATGTTTTTAAAGTGAATCTGTACTTGACTTTAACTATAGAGTTCAACTTTTAAGAACATGAATAGAATCAGTTAAAGGAAGGTATCTAAAGATGCCTGTATATTTAAGGATCTTTCAGAGAGCCCCAAAACCTGGCAGGCTTGATCTTTAAATGTCTTCCTCCTGCTCAAAAAGGTTAGCTGCAACACTCTGCTTTCTGCACTTCACGATTAGTCAGTGTGACCACTGATCACAATGAGAGACCAGTCTATTGAGCCATCTAACTCTGCTGCCCTTTACCTCAGCCCCACATCTGCAGGGGTACAGTCACTGTGCATCCTGATATTCCTATCACTTTTGTGGAAAACACACCTAATGAATGTCTGTACATAACTTGCAGGTTGCCGGAGTCACAAAACCTGGAGCTCTATATATTAAATAGCAACTTTACTTCCTGAAGTCACGCCTGGGCCAGCACTCACCCACACCTCACTCATGTACATTTATTTTCTTGCTGTGTAAGAAGAAAAATCTAGAGTCTTGTTTTTAAGTGTTACTCACGTCCAGTCTTTGATGCATTTCTGCTTTTGTCTCCTCATCTTCCCACATATCTTCTGGAATGGAATTAAAGTCAGATTGCCACTGGGAGACAAACTCCTGCTTATGGTCTGGACGCTTTAGATAATCTTTAAATTTAATCCTAAAATAAATCAATATCTTTGCTTAATAAGTATGTAGATTACAATAAATGAAAATATTATAATTCATTTACAGTACCTAAACTTAAATAGATACTGTCACCTTGCCAATGTAGGCCCTGGAAAGGCACCCCCTGACCCCCAAATACTTACATTACCTGCACTCTCTTGCTTCGGTTTAATTAGCAGCATTACCCTGCATGTCCAAGTTTGGATATCTTTAAATAAGGGAACTATGAGGTGGAATACGATATCAAACCTTTTCTTAAATCAAACTATACAATCACTAATACCACGGCCAACCTCAGTTCCAAAGTGTCACCTTAGAATATCTATAATAATCGTAAAAGTTCCCACTTGTTTGGACATTAGTGGAAACTGTGAAATCTGACCTTTAATTAAATACAATACATCCAACAATAAATATGTGTATACTGTATATACACATAATCCCCACTTAATAACACCAGCTAAAACCTATCATATATAATACCGAGTGGGTCTCATTGGTGATATGTAAAATCTCCAAGAATATAAATATCATGTTCACCATGGATGAAAACCTGTGAGTACCATGATATTGCAGCTCCAGGATATGAACACAGTCTAAGAGCATACGTGGTACCAAATATGTCAAAGATCTCGGCATTATTTGGATCTGCTACCGAGATCTTTGACAGATTTAAAGTGACACTTCTTGCTTTTTAGTTTTGGATAGAGTGTGGGAAGCCAGCATACGCGAATCCTATCCCCCGACGCCCACTACATGAAGTTCCGTGGGCCAGGCAGGTGTTCTTTTTTCCACATCTAGCCCTGCTGTGGGCATGCAAGGCTAAATGTAGAGCAGGAAAGCCACCGCTCATTTTTTATTAAGTCACTTGTAGCAGCCTGCTTGTACCCCTATCCTTCCACCACACCTCCACACTGTGTTTTTCAGGGTCCCCCGCTCTTTGGGGTCCGTTGACCGATCTGCACTGTGTGATCAGTGAGACATGAGTGCTGTACTCATAGTGCTTCCTGTCTCAGCTGTCACAAGCCAGGCTGCACAGGAGATCGAAAACAATGCAGTGCTCAATCTTCTGTATTGGAGGACAGGGGAGACATAGGGGGTTATTCACTAAGCTGCAAATTGCAAGCACTCATTGGTCAGCGCGGTCATACAAAAATGGGACAGAAAAGAGACACAGCAGGGGTTTTAACCCTTCCCTACTTTTTCCAAAATGAGAAAAAAATTGCTTCATATCTAATATGTCATATACAGTCTAAATAATATCACTTACCTTATATCATAAAGATAATGAATTACAATAAAGCGCTCTTGTCTCATACTCTTTAATCCAGCTTTTGTAGCAGCTTCATATGTCTTTTCTATAGTCTCCCAGTAAGGTACTAGGAACTCTGGAATCTCCTAATGAGTAAAAGGTTGACAAGATTAAAAGTTATTTCCAGATTTTTTTTTCAAGAAGCCTACCGATAATGTTACCAAATATACTATATGGATAAAAGTTCAGTACACTGTGGGCTTGATTTAGCAAAGGAGAAGAGCAGGTTCACTTTCAAAGCAAATTTGCACTTATCTTTTGTGGCAGTGTAAGCCAATACCACGGTGTTAGGTGGCCTCAAAGTCACCCAGGGTTCTCAGCCAGAGGGGCTGAGTGGCTCCAGGAAGACAGTATGTGTACCAGGAGAGAACTGCCTTTTCAGTTATTTCCAGGTTGTCTGGATCATAGTTGGGATCCTGGAGCCAGGAGATTTCTTAGAGCTCTGGGTGGGATGAAATCTCCATTCCTGGGTCCATGCTTTGGTAGTGACCAGCACCTGATTGTGCACCTGTGTACATCCCTCATGAAGAGTGTGCTGGGATGTGTTCAGGGCCCCACCTGTGAGTCAGGAGAGCTCCACCCTGGGGAGTGTTGGAGTTGTGTGTGTGCAGGGAGCACACGGACACAGACCACCTTGGGTGCATGCTAGACGCACACGGAACAGCCAGGGGTGGCTGGGAGAGGTCAGGAAGGTCGGTGACCCGAGGACCTGCGGTACAGTCTGCTAAGAGAGCAGAGTGAGGGCTCACGAGGGGTGAGCAGCGTGAGTGTCTTGTAGCTGAGGAAAGCTACAGAGCCATAACAAGGACTGTCTTATGCTGCTGTTTCAAGCTATTTTGTGTTTGCCCTTTCAATAAACTGTGTTTCCTTGACTTACCTGGACTACAGTGGAGTGTCCTTGTTACACTTTATAAATGAGGTAAAAAAAAAGAGAAAAAATTACTTTGCAAAGAATACACAATCATGGAAAGGAAGAATTAAAAAAATGTGGATATTTTTTGCAAATCATTTGCGTATCAGCACAACTTTACCTCATTTGAAATTTTCACTTAGCTTAGTGAATGAGGTAAAGTTGTGCTGATTTCAATTGTCCAATTGCGTGCAAACAAAATCCTGTTTTTTTGTTTGTTTTATTTCCTTTACCTGATAGGATAGTATTTGCAAAGTGAATTTTCACTTTGTATCATCTCATTCATTAAGATAAGTGAAAATTCACTATGCAGAATTCACATGCTCTTCTGGTTTAGTAAAATCACGGTCACGACATGACAGGGTCCAGACAGGAAGTTTGTTACTGGCAGGGTCACAAGGTTAAAAAAAAAGAAAACTATTGCAGCCACCACATCTAAGAACAGCTAAGCTGCAATATATTATTATATATTATTTTTTGTTTGGGGGTTTAGATACACTTAAGCTTTATTTCTCTTTACTTAATTACTTATTAGAGATCAAATACAATATCTGGAATTTCGTTTCAGCACTATTTTTATACATTTATTAAACAGTAAGTATTGTACAATAAGCATGCATCATGAATCATTTGTTTTAAACATAGATATCAGCCCATACCTTGGGAAGTGGCTCATTTACATACACCCATTGCGCAGATCCAGGCTGAATGGGTGGAGGACCCACGGGTGTTAGTGCTGTAGGTTCAGGAGTAGTTGGGACTGACTTATTTTTCTTTCCAGGCGAACGACCCCTCCTCGGGGATCCTTACAGATGCACAAAAGAAATGTAAGAAATTAATGGGTAAAACAAATCTATAAGTCCGGTGGAACTAAATTGCAGTTATTTAGAGCTGTTACATTAACATCATTTTAAATCTACACAGGTGGCAGAGGCTGCAAGATGAACAGTTTGGCCCACCACTGATTCTGGTTATTCTGCATGTAATGCATTTGTGTTTATGGGGTATTCCAAGGTCTTTCCAGGACAACAGTTACATAGGATCTCTCTAGAATGTCAGGACAACTTCTCCAGGAACAGCTCCTATGTGAATAACTTTTCAGGGAACCATACAGGGAAGCAAGTATAACACCAAAGCTTCAGGGCCACGAAGGAAACCATCCTCAAGGTGACAAGCCAAATGTCTTGGTGAGATTTCTGGGAAGTGCTGGCTTTCTCTGTACAAGAAACATTGGTCTTATGCTTGCTTCCACTATATGATTTTTCTACTTCGACCTCATTAAAAAGCTGGAGATTGTTCTTGGCGAGTGTTGGCTTTCTCTTCATGAGAAATGTTAGCATTATGAAAGTGGTCCTTCGTGACCTATAAACATTGGTATTATGCTTATTTCCACTGTATGATTTTCTACTTTGAACTCATTAAAGGAGAACTATGGGGTCAGTGTTTTTCCCCATAGTTCTCCTTAGGGTAACAACAATTGCTGCATCCAGGGCCGGATTTCCCAGGCCAACCAAGGCCCGGCAGCAGGGAGTTGAGGGTCAGCAGGGGTGTGGAATTCCTATCTCCCGATGCCCGGGACATGCATTTCCGGGCGCCGGGCGGGTAGTCTATTTCTACATTTAGCCCTGCTTTGGGCAAGCAGAGCTAAATGCACAGTGGGGAAGCCGCCTCCTGTTTTGTACAAGTGATCTCGGTGAGGTCAACAAGATCACTTGTATGCAGCCTGCAGGTCTGCCATCCTCCAAAGGGGGGGGAGGTCGTTGCAGAGGGGGGCGCATTGAGGAACCTGGCCTTGGGGCAGCAGAGAGTAAATCCGGCCCTGGCTGCAGCAGAATTTGGGGAAAAATCAGAGGAAAAGTGAGCGGCAAACATTGACTCTGCTTAGAAGTTGAAATTTCTACAGTGTCAGCAAAAAGATAAGGATAACAATGCTGCACGTTGGCCCACAGTACAGTCTTCAGGCAACTCAGATGCTGTTTTGAATCAAGCCCAGCCCATTCAATATTTATTTTCTGATCAATATATTCAGAGTGCAATGGTTTTTTTAAAAGTGGATATTGAAGATCAGTTAATTGTATGTGTAGGAACCTTTCTACTGTGTTAAAAATCTAAAGGTAAATAAAGATGGCAGGGTAAATTTGTGAACCAAGCTTTCCACCAAACTGCATCAACATTACTAGTGAATTGTAGGAGCTTGTCTTTCAATTCGTTTTTTTGAGCCTGGGGAAGACCCTGCTTCTTCAGTCCAGGCTTCATACAAGACCTTGACTTGACTCCAAGCCATCCACTCTATTTGAGACTTGGCTCTTTCAGACATTATCCATAGCTCATAACCATGGATATGGATAGGGATGCAGACTGGCATTATATACTACTGGATAGGATCCTCAAACTGCATGAGGCACAATCAAAGCTGCCGAGAGGGAAACCGAGAGAAGACAGAAGAGAAATCTCATCCCATAGAGGACACTGAATGGAATGTGATTAAGGTAGTTGACACTGGTTGAAGCCACTGCCATCAACATGGGAATAGAAGTGTTACTATACTAACTGTCCTGATTAGCTGGCAGACTTATGTTTTTCTGCTTTAATAAGTTAACTTTGAAAGGTGGAACAACACAATGCGATTCATGTTTTTGTAAAAAATAAAATAAAACAATGAGTGTGTGTCGTGTGTGGTAGATGAGAGATAAGGATTTACATATAATAATATTACATACATAAGCACTTTTATGGGAATCTGAAAATGTTTATGCTTATGCTACAGGAAGTTGTAAGTGTCAAGGCACTTGTAACTCTCCCTCCATCTTTAGTTCCTGTGCTGCTCCTCTTTCCAGTGTGGGTGTTGTCATCTATCCCTTTGTAATTTAAACTTTCTTTCCTAGGTCATTATGTCTCTGGGCTGTTATCTGAGTCCCCTCACTGAGCTGTCATCTCTACCCAGTCTCTTTGATGGATGATGTTACCCTTCATCCATCGATTTGTTGCCATCCATCTTCAGTCGCTCCGTTATCATCATCTCTGCTGTGCTCTTACTTTTCATTTTTCCTATCTCTTTGCAATAATATCTCTCATGTCTCTGTTCTTTCATCATATCTTTATCTTTCTGTTACTTTGTCTCCCCTGACACTGTGCAGTCCTTGTTGCTGTTTCCGTCCAGGCATCTGTCTCTGCGCTCTCACCTATCTCTTATCACAGTGCTGTCATCTCTCTACTATCTGTGTTGCCATATCTTTCCTGTCTAAGTGTTGTCACCTTTCTTCTTTACCTCTCTCCTGTCTCTGTGCTTACATCTCTGTCTGAACTGTACATCTTTCTTGCCTCTGTGCTGCCATTACTCCTTCCTGTCTTTTAGCTGTATCTGTTTTCTGTGTATCTGCCATCACATCTTTTCTATCTCTGTCCCATCATCTTTCTCCTATCTTTGTGCAGAAAGTTTGGAGTTTAAGTGAGACCCTTTATTGGCTAACTTAACTGACTAAATATGCAAACATTTGGCATACAATACTCTACTACTATCTCTGAGTAATAACATTTCTTCTTTCACTGTGCTGTCACTTTTTCCTGTTTCCATGTTGTCCCGTCTGTGTGATTTCCCTGCCCTCCTATCACTGTGTTGGTATTTATCTCTCTGTCTCTATGTTATCTTACTTCTATTCTTCTGATATCTTGTTTTGTGCTGAGATCTATGTTATGTCTATGTGCTGTCATCTATTCCATTATTTTCCTCCGATCTGTGAGCAGTAATCTTTCTCCTGTCTCTGTGCCACCATCTGTTTCTGTGCGTTCACTTCTCTCCTTTCACTTTCTTATATGTGTGCTGCCATCTCTATCCTGTCTATGCTCTAACCTCTCACCTGTCTCAATGCTCCTTTCATCTCTGCATGCCTCTATTGTATTCTTTTTTCTGTCATTGGGGTGTCATCTTTATTTTATCTCTGTCATTACTCTCTGTGCTATCATGGCTTTCCTGTTCAGCAATGTGCTTTTTTTTTTTTTTTACCTCTTTCTTATTTTTGTGCGGTCATCTCTAAACAGTCCCTGTGCTGTCATCTTTCAGCCGTCTGTTGTGCTGTCATTTTTCAGCCGTCTGCTGTGCCATCATCTTAACTCTGTGCTGTTGCATCTATTCTGTGTTGTCATCTCTTTTTATCTCTCAACTGTCATCTTTTCTCAGTCTTAGTGTTTTTGTCTCTTCTTTTTTTCTGAGCTGTCACCTTTCACCTGGTTCGTCTGTGTTGTCATCTCTCCTCTTTGTCATTAGCCCTCTCTTGTTTCTTTGTTATCTCTCCCCCATCTCTGTGTTGTCATATTTTTCCTCTTTGCTGTCATCTCTCACCTGTTTCCTTGTTGTCATCTCTAGGTTTCCAGTGCTCTCCCATCTTTTTCCTCTTTGCTGCCATTTCTCTCCTGTCTCTATGTTGTCATATCTATCCTGTCATCTCTATCCTAGTTCTTTCCTTCCTGTGCTCTCTCTCTGTAGGCAATGTGTCCACCCCTGGCTGCATTCCCTCCACTATGCCACTCCACTACTTTAGGTGATGTGTACATTTATCAAATTACTTAAAAATATCTCAGTGTACTGGCACCCTTATGGTCTCAAACAATACATAATGTTCAGCATGCCTCAAGACGTTTAAGGCTGATATCATAGAATTCTGTTATTTGGAAACTCTTGCTAAGAATCTTTTTCTCACAACACACAGAAACTTTGTCATGAAAAAATGCTCACATATAATTCACTCTTGCATTTAATGCTTAAACCTAAATTAAAATTGCATTGTACCTGTTTTTGGTGATTTTCGCCCCGAGTCTTTTCCTCGGGGTGTATCTTTCTTCTTTTCTTTCTTATCTAGAGAACTATCTATGAGGATAAACAAGACAAATTAGCTCACAACTGTTATTTTTTCATACAATACAACCTTACAGAAACTTTCATTCAGGAAATACTAAATGGACCTGCTATAAAGTTGATGTATAAGCAACAGTCCAGGGAATACGACGCTATAAGAAGCTACTTCTATCTATGCATACATAAACTGTACACATGTATGTATTGAATAAAATACATTTAATAAAAGTGTTAAACTTCAATTAAGACCACTGAGTGATTGTCAGATCATGTAATATGATAAAAATAGTTATTCATGTTCATAGCTACAGCTTGCGGTATACTGAGAACGCTGCAGCCGGGACGGATCCCGACATTACTGTTGAGATCCACCCAGCTGCGTGATTGACAGCTGTCTCTGCCTATCTAGAGGCAGAGCCAGCTGTACCCGCCCCGTTCGTTCCTCCAGTCAGCGCTGGAGGATCGGAGCGGGGAGGGGGGGAATCCCTGCTGGGAGCCGTGAGTGACAGTCAGGGCTCTCTGCAGGGACAGGATCGAGAAGTGAGTGAGCGACAGTATGTGTTCGATCACTTCCCGATCTATTGAGCCGACGTGTGACAGTTTCATTGTCACACGTCGGCTCGAACTATGAGGTTGAGTGAAAATCACTCACCTCATAGTTCTCCTTTAAGTATTTAATATGGGACTTCAGATGAAACTTTTTCCTAGTGTTGGATAAAGCAGGAAAGAGCAAAATGCTGTCAGGTGTTTATTTATGTCCGTGACAATGTTATGGAGATTTTCCCTCATTTGCTGTACTGGGGACAAAATGGACAGGAGAGAAAAAAATCCCATGTTTGACAGTTGTCACCAGAACAATTGTCCACACTGGAAAATTTCCCTTCTACTTCTGTCCAAGTGACAACAGTAAAACTGTAAGTTTTCAGCACTTTCTGTCCCAAGGACTACAGTCCATTGTGGATCTTATCAGCCGGGCCAAAGTCAGCGATAAAAACCTAGAAACACGTTTTGGCTGAAGTTCTACTTTAATTTACAGAAGCATACATCATGCATCCATGTCTATGTATAACTAGGTATTTTATTTTGCAATTCATGAAAAGAAAATGCTACACACACACACTATACACAAAAACACAATTTTAGAAAATCACAATAATATTGATAGGTCTATTTACAGATGATCTCTGTATATCTAAAAAAAAAAACAATACTTCCCCTATGACAAACATTACCTCTCCAGCCTCCACCAAACAAAGGCTGTTACTACACTTGATTAATAAAATAAAGCATCTTTATGTTTGGTAGAGGTCACTGATTGATGAGTAGCACAACTGTTGTCAGCATTATTAATAACCTAAATGGAAAGTGCCAGTGGTGCACCTTGCCAGTCTCAGCTTCTCCTCTGAAACATTTCACCCATAATATTGATTTAATCATAGAGACCTCTATGATTAAGCCCATTTTTTTTTAAACCAAGACTGGTGTGGATCACCATCAAGTTTTCATGATAACGCTGACATTGGTTGTGTTACTCGCTATTTTATTGTGTATGGATGAAAGAGGGAGATGGACATCTGCGGGCACGCACATGGAAAGGGCAGTTGCAGCCACAGCACCTGGAGCACTACTCTTTTGTGCTGCACTGTTTGCCTTAGTGAGGAGGACTGGTGTCCTTCATCAGGGAAAAATATATATTTATAGAGTTTAAAGAGTTCAAATATAACAAGAAAATACACCTAGTCCTGATGTTAACAATTGTAAACAGAATTATAGACCTCAGTGCAAACAAGATTATGTTCTCAATGGCCAGGTCCAAGAAAATGTAACATTTTGCAGGGTCCCATACTGCATGCCTTCCATGTCCTTGTGCAAGCACTGTGTCCAGTCGTAGAGATCAATGTGCACTGCTATGTCCAGTTCAATCATTTTTCTCTATTGGTAAGTGCAGCATAAGGACTTTGGCTTTGGGATATAGGAGTATGGTGGTACAAGAGGCATGAAGTAGTACACGGTTGGCACTTAACTAAAGAAAACATTGTTCCCCCTGCAATGACGATGGTAAAAGGTGAATCATGCTTGTATGATGATTCATATAAAAATTGAAATTAAATACAATTATTGCCTACCTTCCCCTGCCTTTGTGCAAAATGTGGCCTAAAAAAAAGCCATTTACGCTGTTCTAAAAAAAGGACATTGTGCAAAATGGTATTTTTATATTACATTGTAGAAACTCAATCAGCTTTCATTTGCTCTAAACACTTGAACCAGACATGACAATGGGTACACTCATATCATCAATATCAATTAGTCCAATGAACAAAAATAATACTTGTGACCTTCAAACCCATTTTCCTTATCACACAATCTTTTCTAAAAACCTAAAATGCTGCACCCCTGTCTTCCCAATACTAGCTCCTATTCAGTCGCAGTGGCGTAACCAGAGTTCTGGGCGCCCGGGGCAGAAATTTTTTTTCGCCCCCCCCCCCCATTATATAAACAACCACTGGAACTGTACCCTGCACCTCCCACACACACACATGTTTTTATTTTAATTTTTCAAATTTTAATATTTTATTTTTTTTGAAACTTTTTCATTTTTTTAAATCAATTTTTATTTATTAATTAATTTTTTATTAAATATTTTTATTTTTTACTTTACTTTTAGGGGCTTCGGGGAAATATTGGGGGTCTAAACAGACCCCTGATATTTCCCTTTAAAAATAGAAAAAGAGATTGAGGACACAGAGTCCTCAATCTCTTTTTCTGTGTCCCCTGTTATCAATGAACAGGAATCCTTTATGAGTGTTCCTGTTCATTGATAACATGGTATGTTTACTATAACTACAATTATGAATGAACAGGCGGAGATGTAGATCACTCCCGTTCATTCATAATTGAGGATATAGTTTACATACCAGGTCCTCAATTATGTACAAACACTCAGCGATCACTGATCACTGAGTGCTTGTACCCGCTCTCCTTTCTGACACACACTGTCACAGGAGGCTGCAAGAGGAGAGCCCAGCCTCCTGTGACAGTGCTGGCTGTCCCTGCCCCCACACCGCTCTGCTGCACTGTGATAGGCGACCGAGCGGTGTGGGAGGAAAGACACCGGCCGCTCACAGCGCTCGTCCCGCAGCGCTCGGCCGGCTGTCATTTTCTCTCTGATTCCTTTCATCCCCGCTGGGCACTGCTCTGTGTCCCAGCGGGGATGAAAGGAATCACGGCCGCGCCGGCAAAACGGCAAGAATGTCACTTTCATTTAGCCGAAAGTGCCATTTTCGGCCGGCGCCCCCCCTTCACTTTTCGCCCGGGGCCCGCGCCCCTGCTGCACCCCCGGTTGTTACGCCACTGTTCAGTCGTCTTCAAATTAAGTCTCTTTTTAATTTCTGGCCCTATAGGGTTTAAAAGGTTTTCCTCTTTTATACAGTATGCAGTACACTTTCTGCATTTTTTTTTGCAAATATAGGACAATCTACCCTCCAATCATTATGTCATCTATGAAGATAACCTAATTATTAATATTTTTTGTAATCCGCCAGTTATCATGCAGCATGCTGAGGGACATTTCATCTATGTACATTATACTCAAGTTAACACATAACCATAAATCAAAACGTAGAAACAGCATAAAAGCATTGCTTGCAGAAGTGTATGGTATAAAGAAATAGGCAATATATGCAAAAATAAGAATGGGTAAAGATGATTTCATGGATACAGGACAGAGACCACTCCAAACACATAAATGTTATAAAGAAGTATATAGCGTGCTAGGAAAGTCTGGAAGAAAGTCTGTTGTGATAGGAAGTTCTGTAACAGAGCTGCAACACCACGGTGAAAATAAATTAGAAAAGAAAATATATATTTTTTTATCTTAGGGGTTATACAGAAGTGCGTAGAAGTCATATTAACGATGTAGGGAAATAAAGTTTCATTATACAGTCATTTTCTGAAGGATATCAGGACCCAATGTATAGAGAAACAGAGAGGGAAGCATAGAGGGTGCACCTGTAAATGGATTTCAGTATAGAAGGGTAAGGACAGGAGATTCTCCAATAGGATAGAAATTGAGTTCTTAAAAGGTGTCCCATGTTCTACTGGGTGTATCACAATCCCAGTAAGTTGTGATATATAGCATGAAACATTAACCACCATGCTGAGCTTCAAGCTTTGACAAGACAGCAGCAGACGTGGTACTGTGAAGCTGGTTAATGTGAATTTTATAAAGAAGGTTGGAAGGACAAACATTTCCAGAGATCAATCTTCAATTAAGAAAGAGAAGTCACAGGACCTTTCGGTGACTTAGATTTCCCCTTTCCTTTCTTTGCAGATGTCCGTTTTCCAGGAGATGGCGGACGTGGGTCTTTAGTGGACTCTGGAGGAGGAGTTGGAGGTAGTGAGGGAGCTGGTGGTGTGACTGGCAATGGTTGAATCTCCTCCTTCTTCTCAGTCTCAATATCTGTGGATTACATGCAATCGATAAAACAGTACAAATTAAATAAAATGACAATGCTAAAGAGAGGAGGCAATAAAGGCCCTGACATATGAAGCTAGTCTTATAGAAGAACCTAAAGCCCTGTTACAAACATGAATCTGCAGCCACTGACTGTATTTTTAGTGTAGTTGGGTATGAGAGAACTAAAACATATTTTATCTAGAAATGTATTAATTATATACTTCATTGTTTTGATAACCAAGGCTTAATGTTATGTGCTATAAAAAAAATGCTAAGGTCAGTGTCTCTAAGGCCCCTTTCACATGGCCACTCCGATCGGGTCCACCTGTCAGTTTTTCAGGCGGACCTGTTCGGATGCCCAGTGCAAGTCCATGGGCAGCCATGAGTCTATTTACACCCGGTTACCCCGACTCCGGCGGGGTCCAGAGAAACAGACGGATCAGGGATCCATTTCGCCAGAACGGATAGTATCAGGTCAGGGGTAATCTGCTGTAAACAGACACATATCCGTTTACATCAGATTCCCCATAGACCAACATGGGGTCCGGCTAGGGTTGCCACCTGTCCAGGATTCACCCGGACAGTCCAGGTTTTGAATGCTGTGTTCGGGTTTCATGGCATCAGAAACCCGGACACAAGATGTCAGGCAGACAGGGGAAACCAAAATTAAGGTAGGGGCTACTGGCCCCCCACTGAAAACAGTCTCAACTGTGATATTTACATATGAATGGGCGGCGCTATTTACATATGAATAAGCTACGACTTATTCTCCCCAAAAAATGTCTGCGCGTCGCCTGAGTGTTCGGGTTTCGCTTGAAGAAAAGGTGGCAACCCTAGGTCCGGCAGTTTCCATTTATTCCTTCATCACAAGGTGGAGGAAAAAACTGTACAGACATGGATCTCACAGCGGTGACATCTGCTCTGTACTGCTGTGATCAGGAGAGGATCCGTGCGTGGATCCTCTCCTGACCAGCCTGTGTGAAAGGGGCCTAAGTGTACTCTAAAAATCTTAAAACTGAGGTTTAATCTGTTTATATTTTGTCTTCCCTGGCTCCTCTTTCCCTCCTCATCAACATGCTAATGAACATTTAAAATATAATTAAATATTTTATTTTGGACCAGTGAGGTCATCATGGGGAGGCTGTGCTTTTTTATGCAATGCAGGCAGATCATGTCTAATGGGAGGGGCTCGCAGAGTACTGTTCATAGCTTCCTGAAAAACTCAGAGCACCTTGCCACAGTACTACTCTCAAGAGCCATCAGCCCTGAAGCAAGAGGTAGGCTCATTCTTGAGAAGGGTTGTACAACTATTAAAATGCCTTGATGTGTAGCTGTGAGCCTGAAGGAGTGGGTCTTCCTAGGCAGAATGCATTCACGTATGATGTGATTCTGAGTTTCCATGACCGATAGAAGGAAGATCTAGTGAATGTCAGAAGCTCACAGTGTGAAGTGAAATCAGAGTAAGCAATGTCAGTACGGGAGAGGAGCCGGTACAACTGTGCAAGACTGAAGTCCGGAGTCCAGTTGTAAACACTGTACCTTTATTCTGCTTATAGTAGAGAGCTGTTAAAAAGGCATTCTCCATTATATGGTATAAGCTGTCCTTATCCACTTCTCCATCTACTTTTACTAAGATATTCTGCAGTGAAAACCACGCCTCCAGTTTCGGCCAGTTGTCAAGGAATCCTGTAATTCTAAAAGATGAACAACAATAGTAAGCATTTCCACCATGTAAAAAACATAACTGTAATCACCTTCCACACGGCACATTTCTATATAATCTTATGCAGGGCAATTAATTAGGTATTAAAAATGATTATGTTTGAAACAGTAAGGAGTAGTCGACCAAAAGTTTGGTTTGAAACAACCCACAAGAAGTCCTTGTCATGAGCAGCAAACCACAGTGATAGGTATGGGCTTGATTTTTGACATGGAACTTAACAAGGCGGTTTGGATTCCACTTTGAGACACTCCCAGATCACAGCCCTCAGGTTTGCCTTATCAGCAAAAGTTGGAGGGGCGACAGGCCAGAGAAGAAGAACTTCCAAATTGTAAGGCAATGGCATATACTGTACAAGGTCAGGTGCTGTTCGGGTAGTGGTAACACAAATGCAAGACAGGTAGCAGATAGATGAACAGCAGGAACCAGAAGAGTAGGGTTGTGGTCAGGAGTCATGAAGTTCAAGGCAAAAACAAATAATGGGGGCCAGAATAGAAAGTAAAATCCATAAATAAGGAAGAAATGGCCAACGCTCAGCTGTAAACAAAGATTTTGCTTTGAGACAAAACTAAGCTGTACTGTGCTCTCTGCCTGGTTAACCACATGGGTCAAAAGCTGAGCAACCTTACAATTTTCCTCCTACAAAAAAAGGTTGGGAGGCTTGGCAGAGTTTCTGCAGCAAGTATCGGGTATGTAGCTTATACTCTCAGCTGCCTGCTGCTAGCATTGGGAGAGTTTCTGCAGCAAGTATCGGTATGTAGCTTATACTCTCAGCTGCCTGCTGCTAGCATTGGGAGAGTTTCTGCAGCAAGTATCGGTATGTAGCTTATACTCTCAGCTGCCTGCTGCTAGCATTGGGAGAGTTTCTGCAGCAGGTATCGGGTATGTAGCTTATACTCTCAGCTGCCTGCTGCTAGCATTGGGAGAGTTTCTGCAGCAGGTATCGGGTATGTAGCTTATACTCTCAGCTGCCTGCCGCTAGCATTGTTGTTTTTTTGTAGCCACACTTTTACTTTAGATCAAAGTTGGACATTTGTGCATCACCTTATATAAGTTGTTAGCAGGAAGACAACCTTCCAGTTCTTCAAATGTATATGCTTTATCATTCTTTACTGCCACACGGAGGAACATAAGACTGGCTACTAGAATGATGGGGGTGTCATTCCTACCTGTGCTGGATCTGGTTCAGTTTTTGGTCATGGTCATCCCCTTTAGGAGCTGTTTCATTGTATTGGTCATCTCCTTGACCTGTGGAGAGGTTATCAAATCTAAACATCAAAATACTGGTGAAGAGAAATCAACCAAAAACTCTCCAGATGTCATGAAACTACAAATATATGTATGGTAGGGCATGGTGGAACTTGCAATTCAAGCCACACATTTCCTTCTTCCGCAACAAACCATAACACAGTCTGTAATTTTTGTTTCATCCCTGTGTAGAATCTACTGGGGCAGTTGACAATAACACTGGCTCCCTAGAGGGCTATCCACAAAATATAAGGGGAACGTAATCAAGAGAATAAAGATCAGGAAGTTCAACACACAGTAACCAGGAAAGGGGTACATGCATGCAAACGGAGTCCACTAGTGGAGATGAGAAACTGGAGGCTTACAAAAGCATACAACAGCAATCAAAAGTGCCTTGACACATTTTGCATTATGGCTTTGCATTACCGCACATTATGACTAAGCACCAAAGTGTGAAACACATCAGGGCACTTTTAATTGCTATTATGTTCTTTTTTCATTTAATCTCCTGGATCTCCTCTCTACTCATGGACTCCATTTGTACGCGTCTCTTTGTTGTGAATTTACCAGGACAGGAAGTGATAGGAAGTTTACCAGTGCCAAGGGACAGGCAGAAACAAATACAGGAATTGTTTGTAATAGACTCTAGTGACAGGTAGATTATAGGATCAGAGCCGGCACATGGGGTGAGGCCAGTGGCAGGTGAGGCACCCCCCAGCCCGCCCTCGCCCAGTCACAAAACTGTTTTTTTTATCTGCCAGCAGCCTGTGAGGTAGGAGGGGATACTGATCTGCCTGTGGGGTGTGGGAGGGAGGAGACAGGGAGGAGACTCCTTGTCCCTCACTTGCTTGTCACTGATGAGGAATCTAGACAGATGCTGTCAGTTTTTTTTTTTTATTGGACAGCTTGGACCAAAGGCGCTTTGTCATTGGTACAAACCATCCACAGAGCTCAAGGCTCTGACTGCAAGTCAGAGGCTTGTTGTAGCTCTGACCCCGCTGCAGCGGGGAAAGCCCGCCTCTGTGTAACCTAACATAGCTGTCAAAAGGCGGGTGAAGCGCCGCCTGTAATTATTAGGCAATGCTCCGTCCATGACAGTTTACACAGTGGGGAGGCTTTCCTCGCTGTGTAACCCGCTAGAAGCCAGTCTGAACAAAAAAACACATTTCCTTCATAATAGCAGGTGAGGCTCGCCTCACCTGCTTCCCCAGACCGCAAGTCCCTGGATCAGAGCATAGGTGTGAGTCATGCTAACATCAACAACACAGAGGGGCACCATATCTATCCCAATAAAAAAGATTCCACTGCATTCTCCTTTGAAGTAGATACTGTGCTAAAACGAAAACACTGTAGTTTAAACTTAAGACATGAAATCCATTTCACTAGAAGGAATTCACTCATCAACTCTAGGCTAATGGTCAGTTACAGGTTCAGAGTAGATCATACATTGCTTCCATACTCTAAGTAACTTCACCTTCACTACAGCAAAACATTTATCTGCATACATGACAGAACTGTCTTAAATTCTTCATACTTTCTGTAGCATGTGTGAGCACATTGTAAAGTGCACCTATGCTCAGACTATTAAAGTATTTACCTATTCTAAACAAGCAATGAAGTACCTTTGAAAGTCATCCCTGACCTCTCTAGGTGTTTTTAATGAAAATGTATTCAGTCTCAAAGATCTTCAAAGAATACAACAAAGACTCTAAGGTCCCATTCAAACAGAGGTTTAGGCTGTGACTGGGTATTACTGCGGCAAGAACCTATGGACTAGGCATCATAGTGGAAACAGCCATCATGTGAATGAGGCCTAACTGTGTTGTGAACTTAGAATTTTTTTAATTTCCATAATGCTTATTGATACAGAGATAAATGAGGGTTTGTTGTAAAGTGTGATTACTGTTTGTTCGGAATATATAAATACTATAGTGTGCATGACCTGGGCACAGGTTTGCTTTATTTGAAATGTTGCCGGAAAATCTGTTTATGGTAATGAATACATTTTAACAACTGTTGTGTTATCCTACAATCACGTGCAGAGATGGTTGTATACAGGCATTTTAAATTCATACCAAGATATCCATAAACCTTTAGAAAGAAGTACAATTTTACTAGTGACCATTGTATGAAAGGAATACACATGCAGCCTTGTGTGTGGGACATCAGAAATAAAGATCTACCATGACATTACATTACATTTACATATAGTTCTGAGAAAAATTATGAAGTGTAAGACCAACTTTGGACTGTAAACATAAACACAGTCCATGATGGCTGCAGAAGATACAACCAATGGAAGCATCTGTTGAGTGCAACCAGCAACTGATTGTTCACATTTCCTTATAAAAAAGGTAACAAAGCCTTGACCATGCACGTGACACAACTACCTGTCAGCTAAAATGTTGTTAAAGTGTATGTAGACCCTAACACTGAACTTCTCCTATTTGCTCTTTTTTGATCTCTTGAAGACGAACTCTGGGAAAAGTTATTATTAACCCTTGCAGCAGGGCTCCCGTCGCACTGCAAGATTTAAGTGCTCGTCTTGGTAGTAAAATAGCAAAGTTATATGCACCTGATCCTCAGAGCCGGCTTGCTCTTAGACCGGTTCCTGGAACCTCTCTAATACTGTGTATTGGACATCAGAACGATGAGGGACATACCATCAATGCAGCAGAGGAGACAGGCAAGCACAGGGAGCACTGTCACAGTCTTCCGGCTCCAGGATCAGGTAAGTATATCTTTTGTTATTTTCCTCCATAGACCAAAATGAGCACTTAACCCTTGGCAGTTCGGTGGTAGCTCCACTGCAAAGGTTAATAATGATTTTTCCTCCTGGAATTCTGTTTTAATATCTGTTTAATAAGAGCTAAAAAGTACCCGATGATCCTGACAGAAATCCAGTGCTGTCCTGTGCGCCCTACACTGTTATCTGAAACAGTGTTATTAACTTTGCTCAGTTCACTTCTGTGGAATAAAGTATACCATAGGGATGAGGAGAGGGTGGTGTTTTGTAGTCCAAAAACACTTCCTCTTCCAGGGTGACAAAGCTGCTACAATATAGTACAGTGAATTAGGGTTGTCACCCAAGGACAGGAAGTGTGTAAGTGGCAGGATCACCAGGTGAAAATTAGAAAAAGGTAGCCTGAAAAATTAACTAATGTGGTCACCACATCTAAGGACCGGTAAGCTGCAATATATAACGTTTCTGTTCTTGATTTTAGATATACTTCATGATTACATGAGAACGCCACACAGTAAAGAAGTGAAGAAACCAAAGGTTGAGGTTTTTTTAACACTAATCAATCTCGGTGAGATATTATGTCCAACCTGAATTTTTATTCTCACCCTCACCAGCCATCTTACCACGTGACCCTGCAGCACGCTGTAATACTACATTGTCGGAAACTTCTATTAAGGCAGCAAAGTCAAGTGATGGAGGAGGCGGCGGAGGATCCTGCGGGGCACCCAGATCTTTCACTAGAGTTGACATCTTCTTCTTGTTTCTTGTTGCCATTTTGTCTGGGTCATAACCTGTGAGAGCTTTCTCTACCAGTTTTGCCTGATTCAAAGTAGCTGGGAAGCCATCTATCACCCATCCGGAGTTTGCTGGGATATGACTACAACAAGAAACAACAGTTTATACATTTGAAGTAGACTTGTCAGCCATTTTACACTTTTAAAAGTAAAAGAACGGTCTGACAGCAGGTGCCACAAGGTGACTATTTTATCTTTTTTTAAGCCAGAGAACCCTCCTCTATGTGCCTCTCTGACACTGGTTTCACTTAGTTGCCAGGGGCATGACTTCCCTGCCTCTGGGGGTAATAATTTATTCTGTCAAATGGCAACATCTTATTGTCCAAAATGGCAGTTTCACTGGAGAAAAGGGATGGTGGGAGGGCTTGGAACTGAAGTCTGGAAAGATGATGAAACCTATGGCTTAGTGTGTTTCCACTTTTGCAGTCAAATTTGAGAAAACCCCACTATATGTTTGCTATGTGTTCCCATTTACACATCATACCTAACAATCATTTAAAAAAAAAAATGTCTTACCTTTACCCGTTATAATACCCATAATAATAATACGGCCGGCCGGGAGCTTCCTAGATCAGGGCGGGTGTATTTAAGCGTCCCATCAACCACTCCCACACGCGTGAGCGGGAACCTGCCCAAATTTAAAAAACAGGCAGAGATGCCTGTTTACATACAAGCGATCGCTTGTATAAAGTGCCGGTCCGTGCGCCTCTCCTCCCGCTGTCCCGGGCTCCCTGTAGATCCTCAGAACATTTCTGAATTGGTGCTGACACTGTTCTTCCTTCTGGAGGGGGGCTACTCTTTGTTCCCCATGGTCCCTGTGTGTGTTGTAAAGTAGCCACCACTCCAAGCTCACTCCTGTGATGGACTACAATCTCATATTTAGTTTACTGATTTGTATTGAGATTGTAGTCCATCATAGTAGTGAGCTTGGAGCGGTGACTACTTTACAACACACACAGGGACCATGGGGAACAAAAGTAGCCCCCCTCCAGAAGGAAGGACAGTGTCAGCACCAATTCAGAGATGATTTGAGGATCTACAGCCAAGTGAAACACAAATAAGATACATTTCTGTTAATAGTTAAAGGGAGAACTATGAGGTGAGTGCTTTTCACTCACCTCATAGTTCTAGCCGACCTGTGACAATGAGACTGTCACAGGTCGGCTCAGTAGATCGGGAGGTGAGCAAACAGTTACAGGCTGGATTCTCCCCTCCCCGCTCCGCCAGCGCTGACTGGCGGAACGGACAGGGAAGGGGGCGGGTACAGCTTGCTCTGCCTCTAGATAGGCAGAGCCAGCTGTCAGTCACGCAGCTGGGCGGATCCCGGCACCATTGTCGGGATCCGCTTCAGCTGCGGCGTATCAGTCGCGGTATACTGTGGCGTCTCAGTATACCACGAGCTACAGCTCGCGGTATACTGAGCCTAGGGTGACGGGAGGACGCTAGTTTGTGTCCTCCCGTCACCCTAAGGAGAACTATGGGAAAAAGCCTTAACCCCATAGTTCTCCTTTAAGGTACATGAATGTATTTTTATGATTTAACTCCTGAGTTTAGTGTCACTTTAGAAACTGAGCTCCAGGCAGTTATAAAAGACAAAAACTAATACAACATGAAGTTTTTACACTTTTTGTCCAAAGATCAGCATATAATAATAAAAACAGCTGTGCAGGGTATTTATTAAAACAATGTACCACATAAAAGCCTTATATGTCCGTAAAAATTTTTCAGGCGTGCTTATTAATCATAGGATTTTAGCTAAATTAACTAACGCATATGGGCACAGCTGACTTTGGCTTGGATGTTTTGGTATTAATGACAAAAGGGTCAATTATAGGAAACCTTTTCTGAAGAAGTACTGAGGCCATCACTGCTGACATATCCTTCTGAAAATACTAGTTCTCTGTCTGTCATGCAGATTCAAATTCTGACTGACTTTCCTGAACAGCGTGTTTGGAAGCCAGAGACAGCCGGGAAATCAGTAATCTAAAAGGAGGTAGCAATAAGAGCTCCCGCTTTTTTTTTCAAAACAGGTTTTCTTGAAAATAAAAACTAGTAAAGGCCAATATGGGCCCCGTACTGCTTGCTGCCACCTATAAAAGCAATTTCTGGAACATACATGCAGAACAGCGTATACTGTTTATTGATCTTTTCTTACTTGATGGCCGTGACTAGGATGTCAACAAGTAGCTCATCTGGCACGGCCTTTCCCTTCTTCAGATACTTCTCCACCGATCCGCCCAGCTCAGCCCTGGCTGACAGCTATATAAGTGGTACACCAGAAGGAGGATTAGACTTGCATGAACAGAATACAGACAATTATTTCATTTAAAAAAGTTTCAAATTAACTTTTTTGCTGTCCTTTCTTCTGTGGTAGAAAAAGTAACTCGAGTCATCTGTAACCACACAGGACTATTCTCAAAAAATATCAGCAGCGGGAATGTATCTTCACCCACGATACACTATATGGCCAAATGTTTGTGCACAACTGACCATCACAGCTACTACTGAGGCAAAAGTATGTGGACAACTCTCCAGAATATTGGGATCAGGTGTTTCCAGTGAAGGGTACTCTTAATGCTACAGCATACAAAGACATTTTAGACAATTTGCACTTCCAGCCTTGTGGCAACAGTGTGGTGAAGGCCCTTTTCTTTTCCAGCATGACTGTGCCCCTGTGCACATACCCAGCTCCATAAAGACATGGTTTGATTAATTTTGTGTAGAGGAACTTGAGTGGTGGCCTGCACAGAGCCCTGACCTCAACCTTGCTGAACATCTTCTTCAGGTATAGTTTTTTTCATCCAACATCAGTACCTGAGCTCAGAAATACTTTTTTTGACTGAATGAGCACAAATTCCCATAGATACACTTCACAATCTGGTGGAAAGCCTTCCCGTTAGAGTAAAGGCTATTAAAGCTGCAAAGGGTGAGGGTGAGAACTTTATATTAATGTCCATGGTTTTGGAAGAGGATTTCAAATAAGCTTATATACTGTAGATGTGATGCAAAGGTGTCAACAAAGTTGGGCCATATAGGAAGGTCTTATCCAACAAGTCATCATCATCTAAATAAGGGAAGAAATTCATATTTATTGTAGAGAATGCTACAGTGTAGGGATGCACCGAAATTTCGGCCGCTGAAACATATTGGCCGAAAATGGCACTTTTGGCAAAATGCCGAAAGTGCCATCTTTCGGCCGAAATAGAGGTGCATCCCTGCTTTTTCTCCTCCCCGCTGGGCGCTGCTCTGTGTCCCAGTGAGGAGGAGAGAAACGGTCACAGGAGGCCAAGCAGTGGAGGGGGGAGGAGAACGCTGTGAGTGGCCGGCCTCTCTTCTCCCGCACTGCTCAGCCTCCCGTGACAGACTAGGAGAGCGGCGGTGTGAGACAGCTGTCTCCGCCCCCACACCGCCGCTCTCCTCACCGCACCACCCTGCTTAGCCTCCTGTGACAGATCAGAAGAGCGACGGTGTGGTGGGCGGAGACAGTTGTCAGCTGTCACAGGAGAATGGGCCGGCGGTGTGGGCCTGTTATTCATTCATAACAAGGGCTGCAGAAAAAGAGATTAAGGACTCTGTGTTCTCAATCTCTTTTTCTATTTTAAAAGGGAAATATCAGGGGTCTGTTTAGACCCCTAATATTTGCCAGAAGCCCCCAAAAGTAAAGTAAAAAAAAATTAAAACATTTATAAAAAATAAATACAAATTAAATATAAAACAATTAAAACGTTTATAAAAAATAAATAACAATAAAATACTAAAAACAATTTGAAGAAGTTAGAAAAAAAAAAAAATTTTTGGTTTCGGCCTGACATTTTTTTTCATTTTGGTGCACCTCTACTACAATGCTTTCTTTTTTGTTAAAAAGTTATTCTCCACTGGTCTCCCCTGCAGTCTAGATCCAAGCATGGAGAATCACTGCAACCTTAGCATGGCTAGAAGAGTGATTGGGTGAAAGTTGAACTACTGATGCCACTCCAACTCTTTCTATACTCCTATAGAGCATCCACAATGAACACAGACAATATAAATACAGTATCAATCATTCAGGGCAAAGTATCTCTAATTTTCAAGGACCCTTATACAATCACGATGGGGAAAGTCTGTTTGCATGAGTGGCAAGTCATGTGCCTCTCCACCCAAAATTAAGATATCAGTCCTGGATTTATTTATTCTTAATTTTGATTGGTAGTTATCTACAGTATGTCTCCTGAGGCCTACATCTGTTTCATTGTTCCCTCTAGAACAGTCTCACTTCAGTGCTGATGTAATGAAACATTCTCAGTGACTGCTTGGGACAAGCATAGCGATAAAGTACTCTCACACTTTTACAGCATGCTTGTTCTGGGTCTGTGACGCGAGTATTAAAGTAAGGCAAAGCTAGGCAGCTAGCATTTTCAGAAGAGGGCCAGCAGTGGTTGCCCCCATTCATCTCCTTTAACAGGTGTAGAGTAGAGAAACACTGTCATTTAGGGCAAAGTGACAGTGTCTTTGCAAAGCAACCCAACCCACTGATACTCCCCTTGAGCTGCACTCTACTCCCTCAGTTTCCTCCATTCCCATAATACCTGGCATCAGCTGACACTGGGGATTTTAGTGGTGGCGATTGGGGAGTGCTGGTGTGAATACCATTGGGTTTGAGGGACACACCTTTGCAGGGCTACAATCACTTTGTCCTTAAAGGAAACGGTGACAGCTTCTCTTTAAGAAAATTAGAGCTGTCACTATTGCCCTGGCCTGCTGACTGTCCAGGAAAGGTGGAGCAGCATGATAATGAATCAGCACTGTGATCCCCCCTCCTGCAAGCATTGCCCCTTTGTAACAACACTGTGAAATACCAAATAGATTATTAAGCTGACCATAAATCAGTCTCTCTTCAGTCTCTCAGAGTGTTGTTATACCATGCAATATGCTGGGCTGAATGTCTATACATTAGCTCCAAACTGTCTATATTTAATGAATTTTAATAAATATGTAACCACTTTAAACTCCTCATGTATGCCTTGCCCCGCCCTTTTAGATTGTAAGCCCTCACTGGCAGGGCCCTCCTTACCATCTTGTATTGAATTGTATTGTGATTGTCTTCCTTATATTGTAAAGCGCTGCACAAACTGTTGGCGCTATATACATCCTGTGTAATAATAATAACAGTGTGTGTTTGTGTGTATGTGTGTGAAGTTTAGCTTTAAAGGCAAAAAAACTCAATCAAATAACATGTAAAAGTAAAAAACAACAATCACAAAAAACATGTCATTTTGGTGAATGTCTGAGTAGATGATTGCGTCTAGCGGCAAATGGTTTGCAGACCACTAATGGTCAAGGGGTGAATGGTTTAGAATTAGAACCACTGTTCCTGAGAAGTCCCCGAGAGAGGTCAACTAAAGTCACAGGTATATCCACAAAACCAAGAGTGGTTTATAGGCGAAAGATAAGAGACGCTTTTAGTCAGTGGTTAAAGGACTGAAAATAATATGTACTATGAGGTATTGGAAAGACACTGCCATGTCTTCCTGTACTACATCTTCCTCTTTTAACTAAGTAAAACAAACTTTATCATAATGTCATAAGGTTGCTAAGGGTCAAGTTATCTCAAAATCGTATTTACACATGTAAGAAGTTTCCGATGTGCTTAAAGGGTTATTAAACCCTCACGTTTTTTTGCAGATATCTATGGCTAGCAAGCAGTAGAGATATGCAGTAGAGTCTCCGCTGCATGCTCCCGTCCGCACATCTGAAGAGTCTTGTGCGGCCGCAAAGGATCTTGGGGCGGGCGCATGCGCAGTTCAGATGTTCGGCCGGGAGATGGGGAGAGACACAAGGTAAGTCAATGGAGCAGACAGACTCCGTGTGACATCAGAGAAGAGGAGGACAGAGGAGTCGACGCTGGATCCGAGACCCGCACCAGAGCTGGAGGGACAGATGAAAAGGACAGTAAAGAAGAAGATGATCGAATAAAGAGGCATCATTTAAGGTAAGTCCTTACACTAACATTGGGTGGGGGGGGAAAAAATTGCCTTTAATGTAACTTTAAAGTGCATTTCCACTTTTGCAGTCAAATTAGAGAAAACCCCTCTATATGTTTGTTATGTGTTCCCATTCACACAGCATACCAAAAAGTAATTTTTTACAAATATTTCTTACTTTTTTCTTAGATATTTTGTTGCAGCAGGCAACATGGCCGATTCCAAGTTTTTCTCAGCACCTTCACATTGATCTGTACTTATAGAAAACTTAGGACTGAAATGTAAGGACTGTTTTTCTCTCAGTAACTTCATTAACATATGAATGTAGAAGCCAGGGTTGTAATCATTTAACCCATCACAGCCCCTTTTAACATTATGAAGGAGTAGCAAGTAGAAATTTTATCCCTTAAAAAGTAAAGACAATTTAAACTGCAAAAAGCAGTTAACATTTTTTTTTTAACCTTTGGGAACATGTAACAAATATAAAATAGGTGTTATGCCAATTTGGCTGCAAAAGAGGGAATACACTTTAACTGCCTGCCAGCCGGCCGTTGAGCGGAGCATCCTAGATCTGGGCGGGTGTATTTACACGTCCCGTCAGCCACGCCCCCCTCGCGCGCGAGTGTGAACCTGCCCAAATTTAAAACCAGGCAGCGATGTTGGTTTACATACAAGTGATCTGCCGCCTATAGAGCCGGCGGATCACTTGTATAAGGTACCGTTGTGTGCGCCCCCCCCTTCGCAGCCCCCCCCCTCGCTGGTCCCGGGCTCCGCTGTGCTCGGTGCGAGCCCGGGACCAGCATAGTGGCTCTGTGACAGGGGATCAGAGGGAGATCACGTCTGCATTCTGCTGTCACTCTCCAGCTTCAGAAGCTGGGGAGAAGCTGGCGAAGCAGATCTCTGCTTCAGCAGCTTCTTTGGGGGTCTCCAGGTGAAATTTAAGGGTCTTGGAGAACCCTGATGTCTCCATAAAGAAGACCTGTCATGTAAATTGGTTATCACATTGGGGGCTTCTTAGAAAAAAAAAAAATAGGAAAAAAAATTAAAGTTGCAAAAAAACAAAAACAATTAAAGTTATACATGAAAAATAAATAAATATATTTTTAAAAGTCCCCACCCATACATGCATGCAAACATGCGTCAGGTGCGCATACGTGCATCGAAAGCGACTATTGCGCCCATTACCCCGAACATGTTACATATCTCCGCGAACATCGCAGTGAGAGCAATAATTCTAGGGCCATTAATCACTGATCACACTAAACTGATGAACGGTAAAAGCTTTTAAAGTGTTGCCTACGGTCAATTTTGGGTATTGTAGTTTTTTGCGATTTCGCGGGTGCGTGCAATTTTAAAGCTTGAAATGTTTGGTGTCTATTTACTCGATGTGACCCCGTCTTTTATATTTTACCAAAAAATTGGGTAATAATAATTGTATTATAACAATGTAAAAAAAAAGTAATTTTTCTTTCATATAGTAAGTGGTGATTAAATACCACCAAAAGAAAGCTCTATCTGTCCCCAAAAATTGTATAAAATGCATTTCAGTACAGCGTTGCATGACGGAATAAATGTCAAAGTACCGCAGCGCTGAATACTAAAAAATGGCCTGGACAAGAAGGGGGTGTAAACACAGCGGTCAGCAAGTGATTAAAGTACATCTAAAGACTGCTGTGTGACATTCTAAACAGGTCCCAATGACAGGTACTATGTGCAAGCTTCTTAAATGACAAAGAAATCCTTTACTTTCCCTGGCTGAGCCAAATATAGAGCATCTTTACCTTATTTTCCTTCTGAACAGAATTTTCCTTAGTCGAGCTTTGCACTATAGGACGTGTTGTTTCATTTATCGGCTCATCTAAATGGGCAGAAAATAAATATTTTAACACTGAAAAAAGTTTGCTAAACTGCAAAAAAAAAATCAGTTTATATTTTACCCTTTAAAGTATATCTAAACCAAACATTAAATGTAATATATTTCATCTTACCAGTCCTTAGATGTGGTGGCTGCATTAGGTTTCTTTTCTCAGGGTTTATTACTTTACCCCATTCACACTTGGCGATTCGCAAATTGCGTGTTTGTCGCGCGATTTGCATTTTGCGCGATATCGCGCAAATGCTTGCAAATCTGCTCCAAAAAGGGTCCTGCTGTAGCGACACACCACCCGCGACAGCAGGACCCTTTGCCCCATTGCAAAGCATTGAAGAGCGATATCGCGTGGTAAATAGCCGCGATATCGCGGGAATTACCGCGCGATAAATCACTCAATGTGAACGGGGCCTTACCTAGTGATCCTGCCAGTAACACACATCCTGTCCTCGGGGGACATCACTCACCCCTAGGCCACTCTACTGATTTGGACCACAAACCTCTCTCCCTCTCCTCATCTCAGCAATGTAGTGGGAGGAGTTCTGCAGTTCATGAATTAGAAAGGCTTATAACTTTATTTGAGATTTCAGTTGTGTGCACAGGAAGGTACAAAGACATTGGATTTCTGGCAGATTCAACAGATATTTTTCTGTACGTGTCTGAAAAAAAAAGAAACCTAACGCAGCCACAACATCTGCAAGGACTGCTGCGATATATTAAATTTTTGTTCTTGGGTTTAGATATGCTATAAATAAGAATTTATTATATACAAGTGACTATTATTAGGCATGGAGGAACAGCAGTCACAGCAGCTGTGGCTGACAGCAGAAAAGCCTGTGAAGCCTGTAACTAAGCTTAGGTTCACACCCGCACTACACTGCACAACACCCGGCACGCGCGTCCTGGGTGCCGTGCAGTCCTGCACAATGCAGGCAGCAATTGCCGCGCGGATGTCACCCCATTCAAATCAATGGGGCCGTTCAGCAATTGCTGCCCCATTGATTTGAATGGGGTGACATCCGCGCAGCATTTGTAGAAAAAAGGTACAAGTACCTTTTTTTTTGCGATACACGACCTGCGGCTGTTTTAGTGTTCGGATGCACAGGCGGAATCGTGGCGGGAAACCGAATGGGGTGCCATTCGAAAATAATGGCACCCACAGCGCGATCGGTTCACACCCTGGCGACTCTTGACCGCATGGCAATCTGCGCGGAATCGTGCATGATTGCCGCGCAGTGAGGTGTCGCCTAGGTGTGAACCTACCCTGAAAGTTGGGGGACCTCTGAAATCTTAGTCAGGCACCCTCCCTATAGCGCCTGCTATTCAGCAATGACACAAAATGTCTGGGTTTACTTTATCTTGATTGAAGGGTGAATGCTTTATTTTTATCTGGACTTCAGCATTAAGAATGATCATAGAAACATAGAAACATCTAAACGCCAGCTTACAGAATGTCCATGTGTACCCTTGGTGAGAACAGAAAAGGTAGACCCAAGACTTTCCTAAGATGCCCACAGACAAAACAAGGCAGTTGAAGATGCAACTACCAAATGAGTGTTTAAAGGTGAACTCCAGGCATGTTCATTTTGCTTAAGGGAATTGGAATCAGAACAATACTTTATTCCTTGCCGCCTGGCAGTTGGCACTCACTGGAGGACTGCTGGCCCTGCATTGTACATGATAACAATGGAGAGCTGAGACCGAATGAGCACTGGAAAGAAGTAGCTTTGAGGGACCATTGGTATGTAGAGGAAGCACAGGGGAGTAAGGAATAGGGCACATATTTCACCTTCATGTCATGGAATATTTATTTTGGATTATTATGCATTCTTATTGTATGTGTATATATATATAAATATAAATATAGAAGCTATTGGCCTGAGACTGTACTGAATGGGCATATATTTATTGAATGTTAAATTTTGATGAGATCCAATGTTATCTTATTTATCCACAATTTTCTTTATGTCTAATAAATTTTGATATAATTTTATAGTATGTAATAGTTGTACTTATCTCTCCATAAACCCTTTTTTCCCCTTATGTTGTATTCAGATACTTCACCTTAAAAACTGGAGAACCAGCACACGATGATCTTTCACAGAAATTCAAACTTTATTCCACATACATCTATACAAAAAACAACTGCTGACGTGTTTCTGCCTTACTCGGCCTTAAAGTGACATTAAAGTCACATTTTTTCCCCTCCCCCCAATGTTAATGTCAGCACTTACCTTAAATGATGTCTCTTAATCCGATCTTCTTCTTCTTTCCTGTCCTTTTCATCTGTCCCTCCAGCGCTGCTGCGGGTCTCCGATCCAGCGCTGACTCCTCTATCCTCACTGGGACTTCCTGTCCCACGGAGTCTGCAAGATGCTTTGCGGTCGCCCGAGAATTTTCACATTTTCGGACGGGAGTGCGCGGGGAAGACACAGGTAAGCATTGACCTCTTTTAAAGCGGTCTCTTTTTTTTTTTTTACACTTTTTGCATATATCTACGAGGCTTTAATTATACTTTAAATGTAAGCTGGGGGCTACGACTAAGGCCGAAACGTGTCAGCGGGTGTTTTTTGCATAGATGCATGTGGACTAAAGTTTGAACTTTTTTGGAAGATCATTGTGTGCTGGTTCTACAGATATTGAGCCTATCACTCCAGAAGAGAGTCATCTGGGTAACTAATGTGTATTACAAGGATACATGATAGGGGTGAGCCGTGCGCTTTGTGTTTCTAGTCTTCATGTATTTCATCCCTATATGAAACAAGCATTTAAAGTCCAACTTTTGGACAACAAAAAAAAAAATGCACACAAAAACGATGAAAGAAAAAATTGCATTCATTATTTTTTGCACTGAAGCGTGCAAAGCATTGCATCCGTGATCAGTAGATTGCAGGTTCAATGCACAGGCTCTCGCAGACTGTTCCTCCAGCCCCAGCTATATAAATACCTGTAAGAAATAAAGTAAATATGATGTAACAACTCACCTGTAATTGCAGGAATACTTTCAGCAGAATGTACTTCTGGACCGCTTGATTCAGCAGGAACATTATCTGTCATCTGCTTTACAAAAATAAGAAAATACATTTTTTGTCAGCATTCTTTGAAATATTAGTAAAATATCAATTCTCTCCATATTCAAGCCATAGTAACGGATTGAAAGATCTTCTCAATTGTGATACTTCCATCCACAGTTTTCTTGAGACAGGACTCTTAGAACAAGGTCAGTACTTTAAATACTGCTAGTATGATCAGAATAAACAGTAAGGGGAATTTATCAAAACTGGAGCAGGCAAAATCTGGAGCAGATGTGCATGGCAACCAATCAGCTTCTCTCTCTCATTTTCAAGTCCCAACTGAGCAAACTGAAAAGAAATGCTGATTGGTTGCCATGGGCAACTGCTCCCATTTCTGTCTGCTCCGGTTTTGATAAATTCCCCCCAGTATGTGTTAATAAACAAAATTTCCATTCTGTAATCCAGATTTCAAAATGTTCGTTCAATTTTCTAACAGGTAATGGAGATAAATTGACGGTCGTTTTCAAAAAAATTGAAAGTTAGAATTTTTAAAATAATTTCTTATCTAAACAAATACAATTCTAACAGTTGAATGTTGCCGTCCGTCAGGAAAATCGAAGGTATTGTAAAGCACATGTGCTAGGAAAACTTTTATCTGGAAGTAGAACTTCTGTGGTTGTTGGTTTAAACAATTATGTATGTAATAGAATGCAAATAAAGGTTTGTGTAAGTCTTTAAAGGAGAACTATGAGGTGAGTGATTTCTTCTCATCCTCATAGTTAGAGCCGACGTGTGACAATGAAACTGTCACACGTCGGCTCAATAGATCGGGAAGTGAGCAGACACATACCGTTGCTCGCTCAATTCTCAATCATCTCCCTGTAGAGAGCGGTGACTGTCGGTCACCGTTCCCCGCAGGGATTCCCCCCTCCCCTCTCTGATCCTTCAGCGCTGAGTGGAGGAATGGATGGGGGAGGGGGCGGACACAGCTGGCTCTGACTCTAGATAGGCAGAGCCCACTGTCAATCAGCCAGCTGGGTGGATCTCGACAGTATTGTCGGGATCCGTCCCGGCTGCGGCGCTCTCAGCATATACCGGGCAATAGCCTGCTACATATTGAGTTTTGGTTCACGGGGGAAGTTAGTATATGTTCTCCCGTGACCCTAAAGAGATTTATGGCAAAAAAAGGTTACCCCATACTTTTTTAAGTATATTGTGTATGCATAAGCAGATTTATAAGTATATTCTAGTACAGGAGTAGTGAATTAAAATACAAGGAAAGTCTCCAAGAATCGTACTCCTGACCGTAAAGATCGTATCTGAGTGAGTATCCTAGTGGTGAGTGCGGCGGTGACAAATGGATGGCGCCGGTGTCCTATATTCTTCTGTTAAAATGCAAGGAGGTCTGGTAAATAAAATCTTCATTGAGTAGATCTGAACAGAACGGTCACTCAGTCTATGTCTGTACCGCAGTCCGCCATTTAGACTGCATTCACACGAGCAGCTGCACTACAATGCACACCTGCTGGTGTGTGTTCCCAGGCACAGTGCCAATCCTAATGCATCACACTGTTTATTTTTTGTTAGAACCCCCTCCCGTTTACATACACGTGCATGCCTTACATGCACGTGTTTAATCGAATCAGATGGTGGGGGTGGCATGGTTGGTTTTAAGTTTTTATTTATTTTATTATTTTTACATTTTTCAAGCACTGAAAGCAGCGCTTCATGCTTCAAAGTTCTCAGAGCACACCGGGGAACAGAAATTCGCCGGTCTGCTCCTGCTCTCCATCCTGACACTGTGTGCCATGGTCCCAGACCCCCCAGAGAAGCAGGGGGTCCCAAAGACCATGCCAAGGGGTGCGGCACAATCGCAGGCTAGTACAAGTTTCAATCGCAGTCCAGACCGAACCACCACTCAGTCCTTGTCCGGGTGGCGGTTCGCCATTTAGTGACCGCTGCTCTGGTATTTGCAATGTATCCACTATAACCCGATGGACTCATGTACTTAGAATGTACATACATATCGAACTTTTTTTACAGCTTTCAAACAAAATTTTCCCTCAGTGATGGCATCATTAAACAGTTTTTCTGAAATACGCACTAATTGTCGATCAAAACTTTAATCTTGTATGGTGAGCTTAAAGCTGTACTCCAACTTTGTATATCTGCCTAAAAGATGTTCCACATTATCGCTTTCCTCTAATGTTGTTTACTCAATGGCCAGCATTTAAGGTGGCCGCCACGAGTCTGTTTACACTGTTATGATGTTACATAAGTGTATACATCAACAATATGTTTACATGTAACCAGAATGTGTGGTTATGATGATGTTTTATTGTGACAAAACTTGAAAACCAATAAAATCTTTTGAAAAGTAAAAAAAAAATGTTTTGAAGGCTATACTGTAGAGCTGATTTTATTTGCTGCAGTAAATGAACACTTAAAGGAGAACTATGAGGTGAGTGCGTTTCACTCACCTGATAGTTCTGGCCGACCTGTGACAATGAGACTGTCACAGGTCGGCTCAGTAGATTGGGAGGTGAGCGAACACATACCGGCGTTCGCTCACCTCTCGATCCTGTCACGGCTCTCTGTCGTGACAGGGGGAGGGGCTGGATTCCCCTCACCCCGCTCCGATCCACCAACGCTGACTGGCGGAACGGAAAGCGGAGGCGGCGGGTACAGCTGGCTCTGCCTCTAGATAGGCAGAGCCAGCTGTCACTCACGCAGCTGGGCGGATCCAGACATAATTGTCGGGATCCGTTTCAGCTGCGGCATCTTAGTATACCGCGAGCTGTAGCTCGCGGTATACTGAGCTTAGGGTGACGGAAGGACGCTAATTTGTGTTCTCCCATTACCCTAAGGTGAACTATGGGGAAAATCCCTAACCCCATAGTTCTCCTTTAATCACTGATAACACTAAACTGATGAACAGTAAAAGCGTTTTAATCGTCGCCTATGGGCTTTTTTTGCGATTTTGCGGGCGCACGCAATTTTAAGGCTTGGCATGTTTAGTGTCTATTTACCCGACGTGACCCCGACTTTTATGTTTTACTAAAATTATGGGTAAGAATAAATGTTTGATAACATAACGTAGGGAAACTTTATTTTTTTTATATTTATGGTACTTTTTAAATTATATAATAAAAAAAATACTCCCCCCGCCCCCCCGTGGTGATTATATACCTTCTAAAGAAAGCTCTATCTGTTCCCCACATTTTTTAACATAAATTGCAAGGCTATAGTCCGGTCATGCTGACTGGTGACATTTTTGACTGACTGGTGAGACACTATCAAATTTTTCAAGCCCTGCCCATAGTCCTCCTTTAAGCTGCTCATACACCTGACGATTATTGTACGATAATCGCGGGTGATCGCGCGATCGTACGATAATCGTAAGGTGTATGGGCAGCGTGCGACCGCATATACTGTAAGGTCGCACGACTTTCGTCTTACGAGCACACTAGAAAACCTAAGGTTGGTAGCGCGATCGCAAGACGAAATTGGCTCGGGCCGAGTACGCAGGAGCACACTGCCTGCTCACCATTGCAATCATCTGCAAGCCCTCCCCTCAGCAGTCTGCCTGTCCAAGATGGGCAGGTCGTACGAAATTTGAATCACCTTACAACCATTGCACAACGAAAGAAAGAAGCAGCAGACTGATGAGCTCTCTGCTTTCTCCTCCTTTCAGCATGTTTATTGCCAACAAATCAGCACAACTGGTTTCCTCCAAGTCCTGCCCCTCCCTCTCCCAGTCTGAGTTCTGCTCAAATTTAGACACTGACACTGTTTGCATTTAAACATAATAAATTTAAAGTGTCAACAATTACTACAGAGCTGCATCTACACCAGTGCCTACCACATTTAGGAAAGGAAAACCATTATCATTATTCAAAGTGCAATCAATTTTGTTACCTTATTTTCCTGAGGTTCCTCTTGAACTATAGCGGCAGGTACACTGTTCTCTTGCTCCATCTCATTGTTTTCATAGGCTTGTACGGCTTCTTTCACTAAGGTATCCACGCACAGCACATGAAAGCTGAAAGCTAACAATAATAAGGAATGCTTTCAATAAACTCCATGTGGTACACATATCTACAATGCAGTATGGATAATTCTACAAAACTACAAACAATATAGAAATATGTCATTTCTTTCAGGTATATGCAGTAATCCAGTATGAAACAACAATTGCACTTTACTTCTGTGTAGGAGCTTCCTGTAATAAGGACCGGTCACCGCTGCTCTCTCCTCTTGTGGAGGATGACTGGTCTTGTACCCGCCTCCTTTTGTATTTTCTCTGTCAGCTTATAGTAGGTGGACCTGGGACCTTCCCACATCTCTGTTCTCTGTGCAGCCCATTCATTATCTCACCACAACTTTTACAAGCTAATACTTATATTCTTTATTATTTATTACTGGTATTTCTATAGCACCAACAATTTTACGCAGTGCTTTACATTCACATCAGTCCCTGCCCTCAAGGAGCATACAATCTAAGGTTCCTATCTCACATCCATACATATGAGGGCCAATTTAGACAGGAGCCAATTAAACTTCCAGCATGTCTTTGGAGTGTGGGAGGAAACCACTGTACTTAGAGGAAACCCACGCAAGCACTAGGAGAACAAGCAAACTCCTTGCAGATAGTGACCTGGCCGGGATTCGAACCGGGGGCCCCCAGTGCTGCAAGGCAGAAGCCAATGTGCAATTGACGAATATATTTAGAACATTTTTTTTAATGCCTGAAGGCACACACAGTTTTGACAATTCCTTTATTTTTTTACTTTTGTTTACATGTCATTTTTATTCTGTTTGCTACGTCTGCACGGCAGCATTCGGCTATTCACTCTCTGCTTTTTGGCCCCTATGGGAATAGGGGCGGACAGCAGAAACTGAACTGCCAAACCTTCGCCTCAGCCGGTCCAGATGTTGGATCGGCTGAGGCGATTGTGTTCTTCACTTCAGTTTAGCCGAACGCGCTGAGGCTGTTCAGCTCAACCGAAGGGAGCCAAAACCAGTCGATGTTAGGCTGAAAACAGCCGAACGGGATTCGGCTCCCTTCACTTCAGCTCGGTTATTCACTCGGCTGCCTTCAGCCTTTTTACCATAGCTGAACTTCTACAGCAGTAAGCAAAAAAAAAAGTCAAATCATGTGAACTTTATGTGGAATTATCCTCATACCAAGTCTTTTTCATTTCTTTTATACCCAAGTGATAGTGAACAAGTTGGAATATCTGATCATTGTATTCAAACCCATTTTCCTCTGTATAGTTTGTAATTAGACACAAGTGTGGTCATTCATTTCCCTAAGATATGCAGACTTTGCTTCCTGCTTAGAGGTGCTGAGCAATGATTGTGTCTTGCTGGTCCTCTTACCTCAATACAAGCAAGCCAGAAATGGTTTATGTGATTCAAACTACAAAGTTTGACATACTTTTTGTCGTCTCTAAAAATGTGAGACACCCGCACTGCTTCTGCTAGCTAAAGATCATGTGATCTTTGCCTTGCCATTACTGTAGGTCGTATAAGGGAGCTCAGCAACAGTAGTTATGTTTTGGTGACCAGGTACTTTTTCTACTAAAAAATGCATGTGATAATGCTGACATGTATTCTGCAGACTCAAATGAAGTGTGAAAAACATCACTGTTTGCTTTTGTAACACAGATTTTGGTTTTGTAGTAAACGCTTGACTTCCCTAAATTTGTGGTTAAGACCAACCACCAGAGCTCAGGCTGCTCATCCAGCCTCCTCTGTCCAATCAGTGCATCAGAATGACCAACAAAGATGCTCTCGTTCGATTAGGAGTGGCAGATGAGAGGGGCCTAGCTTTAGGGGTAGTGTTTAGCCAACATCAAGAAAGTCAGAACAAGGATTAGAGGTGTGCACAATATACAGTATGTAATAGCAAGTACCAAGTGGTACTATTTTTATATTTAAAAATGTAAAATAGTCAGCTACCTTTGCATGAAAATGTTTATTTAACAATGCAAAGAGCAATGTGAAAAGTGTAAACCTAATAAGGACAAATCAGAATCCATTTTGTCATCTGAGTTTAGCGCCTTGGGTTCTGTTCTCTACATCTCAGCATCGTTGTTTGCATTGCCATAGTCAGTTTGCCAGTAAGTGCTTCATATCAATGTATAAGAGCTGAAAATTCAGGAAAAGACTCACAGGGTTATTCACAAAAGGGTGAAGAGTTTGGAGAAGGCAGGAGAAGTGAACAATCTAGGACAACATAGCTAATTTGGAAAAATTCTCCAATTCAGCTCACTTTCCAGTTCAGCGATGTTGTCCTAGATTGTTCACTTCTCCGGCCTTCTCAGAACTCTTCTCCCTTTAGTGAATAACCCTGTCAATGTTTAGTTTTTTGGGATGAGGAAACTGATTTTGCAGTAAAATGACAAATTTTTCACTGAAACGGAAACTCTCAAAATGTGCTCAAAGGAGAACTATGAGGTGAGTGCTTTTCACTCATCCTCATAGTTCTAGCCGACCTGTGACAAAGAAACTGTCACAGGTCGGCTCAGTAGATCGGGAAGTGAGCGAACACATACCGGCATTCGCTCACTTCTCGATTTTGTCACGGCAGAGAGTTGTGACAGGGGAGGGGCTGGATTCCGCTGACTGGCGGAACGGACGGGGGAGGGGGCGGGTACAGCTGGCTCTGCCTCTAGATAGGCAGAGCCAGCTGTCACTCACGCAGCTGGGCGGATCCAGACATAATTGTCGGGATCTGTTTCAGCTGCTGCGTCTCAGTATACCGCGAGCTGTACCTTGCGGTATACTGCGGCGTCTCAGTATATCGCGAGCTATAGCTCGCGGTATACTGAGCTTAGGGTGACGGGAGGATGCTAGTTTGTGTCCTCCCGTTACCCTTAGGAGAACTATGGGGAAAAGCCCTAACCCTATAGTTCTCCGTTAATGAGGTGCTTAGGTAAAATTAGTTTAAAAAAAAAATCCAACAACTTTTTCTTCTTCATTTGGAGGCTGTTTTTTTAAGGCATGTGTATTTAGGGTTGTTTATTCTATTTTATTTAATATGTGTTTATGAGTTGTTTCCATTTTTTTTATGTATTTGCGTGTTTTTGTGACAAAGCAGAAAGTTTAGTCAGTGTGCATTTTTTTTTCAGTGTCTGGTTTTTCCTTTCTGTGGGAAAAAAAAAGTAAAATAAAAGTAAAATCATAAAGCCAACGAGAGGTCATTTTATTGACACTCGAATGGATCAAGGATAGATGAAAGGAGCTACTGTTATTCTCTGGTGTCATTTAAAGTCCATTGCATGCCAAAAAAAGGCACCTTTATTTCACCTTCCTTATCGATTCTAATGCATTTCACTAAATAATTACATTTTGGAAAAATAGCCAAATTTTCTACATTTCAGGAAAATTAAAACTAAAACCAAAATTAATTTCTCTCATCCCTAATAGTTACAGAAAATGTAGCATTTTGTGGCTAAGACTCCCAACTTTGTGAATGAGACCACCAGCACATGAAAGGCATAACCTATACACCTGGAGATGATACTATACCCTTCGCCAAATGCTTGAGGCAGTTGCTCTTTCCAGAGAAGATCTTCCCAAGAATGCAGCCTTTGATGGGAAACGGAGGAAACGCAGGTGGTGGTGTGTTAGCTGGGGGCGGATTGACAATATCCAACAGTCTATGAACCACATGACCCAGGATGTTGTTATTAGGTACAGATGTTTTCACCCCAGAGTCATCAGATAAAATCCACTCTCCTGACATGGTCTGTAAAGAATCAAGAGAAATGTCATACCACATGGACTGATAAACAGAATATACATACAGTGATTCTTTAAAGTATAAAGATATTCATCTGTGGGAAGAAAACAATGCACTAACCATGATCACAGAAGTGGTAAACTTGTTTTTATTTCTATTTCGAAAGTGAAACTAAACTCAGGAATTAAATCTCAAAAATACATTTGAGTACCTTACCTATTAATAAAAATGTATCGTATTTGTGTATCACTCGGCTGTAGATCCTCAAATCATCTCTGAATAGTTAGGGTTCTTGAGCGCATTTGTAAGATTTAACTCCTGAGTTTAGTGTCACTTTAAAGAACTTTGCTGCTTTGTAGTAAATTAGGTGGCCCAACATCAACCAGGATCTCGTCTACCGTGATAAGCAAAGTTCACCCACGACAGTAAAAAAAACTAAAAACCTAAAAGGGGTGTCAACCATTCCCTACTCGATCCTGCTTAAAAATGCCTTTAGATACTTCAAGATTCAAAACCCTTGCCTCAACCCTATTATAACCTCTACACCCTTACCTTAACCTTACCCTAACTCCTAACCCTAATACTGAGCCCTAAACCCTAACATTAGCTCTCAACCCTAAAAATAACCCTTAAACCCTTATCTTAACTCCTAACCATAATACTAACCCCCAAAAACCTGCCTTAATCCTTATCTTAACTCCTAACCCTAATACTAACCCCTAAACCTTGCCTAAAACTCTTAACCCTAATACTTACCCCTAAACCTTGACTAAAACTCCTAACCCTAATACTTACCTTAACGACTACCTTAATTCCTAACTACAGGTGCACCGTAATGAAAATTTTAAAACTGAAACGAAAAAAAAATGTCAGGCCGAAACCAAAAATGTATTTTTCTAACCTTTTAACAATTTTTTTAATATTTTATTTTTAATTATTTATTTTTAGTAAATATTTTTGTTTTTTTACTTTACTTTTAGGGGCTTCGGGGAAATATTAGGGGTCTAAACAGATCCCTGATACTTCCCTTTTAAAATAGAATATATTTACTTTACTTTTAGGGGCTTCAGGGAAATTTTAGAGGTCTTAACAGACCCCTGAGTCCTCAATCTCTTATTCTGCAGCCCCTGTTAAAAATGAACATGTTATGAATGAACAGGGGAGTGTTCCTGTTCATTCATAACATGAGGACAGAGTATGTTTACTATAATCATGAATGAACAGGAGGGGGTGTAGATCACTCCCCATTCATTCATAATTGAGGATATAGTAAACATACTCTGTCCTTAATTATTTACAAACACTCAGCGGTCACTGATCACTCGGTGTTTGTACCGCTCTCCTTCCAGACCGCTGTCACAGGAGGCTGGGTGAGCGGTGCGGGAGGAGAGCTCGATCTAACAGCTGATTCCTTCCCTGCACTGCCGGCTGGCCTCCTGTGACAGCGGTGGCTGCATTCGCCCCCACACCACTCTGCTCTGTGACAGGAAGCTGTGCGGTGCGGAGAGACGGCGGCCGCTCACAGTGCTCTCCTCCCGCAGCGCGGCCGCCTACGACAGTTTTTCTCCTCCACGCTGGGGCACAGCACAGTGCCGAGCAGGGAGGAGAGAAAAGAGGGATGCGCCGCTATATGGGCAGAAAAATTGCACTTTCAGCATTTCGCCAAAAGTGCCATTTTGGACAGATATGTTTTGGTGGCCGATATATCGGTGCATCCCTACTCCTAACCCTAATTAATATTATAAAGAGCTAACCCCTAAAATATAACCCTAACCCTTACCTTAACTCCTAACCATAATACTAACCCCTAAAGCTTACCTTAACCACTACCTTAACTTCTAACACTAATTAATATTAAAAAGAGCTAACCGTTAAAATCTAACCCTAACCACTACCTTAACTCCTAACCCTAATACTAATCCCTAAACCTAACCTTAATTCCTAACCGTAATACTAACCACTTAACACATACCTTAACTACTGACCCTAATACTAACCCCTAAAACCTAACCATAATACTAGCCCCTTACCTTAATTCCTAGCCATATTACTAACCCCTAAACCCTGACCCTAACCTTAAAGTGGTTATAAAGGCTATTCGTTTTTTACCTTCCTGCACTTTCTGCATTAAGGTAAACACTTACCTATACTCCAAATCCACTGCCGCCGGCTCCCAGACGATCCACAATGTGCCCTGAAGTTCTGGATTGAGAGGAGTGCTCCCGATGCAAATGAGAGCAGGGTAGCGCTAGGCTGCTGCACCTGTCCATCAAGATACTGCAAGGAGGGAGGAGGCGGGAACAAGGGCGTGGCTTGTCGAGTGCTGTGTGTGTGTCAATGGACGCACAATGCATAGCTCATTCACGCACGCACGGGTGTCTCCTTTGCAACCTGCTAGGCAAAGGAGACACCCGTAAACAGGAGGGGAGGGGCCACGGTAAATCCTCTGAAATAATAAATTAAATCGGCTGTATTAAAAAAAAAAATAAAACACAAGTACAAGTGGATCTCCTCTGCAGAGTTTAAAAATAAAAAGAACAAGGGTTTAATGTCACTTGAACTCCTAACCTTAATACACATTTACCTTAACCCTTACTTAAATTCCTAATACTCAGACCTTAACCCTTAACCATAACTAAAATTTCAAAATATTACCACATTCTCTTTGAGGTCTGATCACTCCTATGCAACATGATGCAGTGTGATTTTTCGAATGGTGCAGGACCCATAGACCTAATTTGGAACCCATGAATATATATCATGCATTTTCATGCATTTTAGCACATGTCAAGAAGCCTGCACCACATAGCGACCTCTACCTCGTTTCACCCTCCCTGGCCAAAACAAATATGCATAGCACATGAAAGAAGCATGAAAAACGTGCATCAAATATGTGCTACAAAAATGCATAAACATGCTGGCGTATGAGCATGACCTGAGGTTATAGGCCAATTAAAAAGAACTCCAGGCAATTAAAAAAAGTAAGCAGCTTCTCCATTGCCCAAAGACCATCCGTAGTCAGTGAACAACTCCTAAAGCTGTTTTTGAATTGTGCTGTGTGTATTTACTTGGAATCCCTTAAATGATTATCCCCAAGTAAAATGGGAATGTAAGGACAAAGCAGTAAGGAGAATGCAATCACTACGAGTTGCCGGTCTAATTGTCATTACATGTACTGGTGTCAGCTGGGTCAGGTGCTTAGATGTATCTGGAGAAATAATTGTATTAATTTTAAATAACCTGATTCTACTTGTGTGTACTGCTGTGTATAGCGGGACAATATTATTTTTCACATGTATCTGGCCAAAATAAAAAACCCATTTAGGAGACCTAATTTACAGGGTGCTTTTCTTGCAAGCTTAAATCTTTATAATGTAGGTCATGTAAAGCTTCCCCAACTATATAGTTAAAAGAAATAAGATTATGTACAAAGAATCATCAGATATTCAACACAGTTAAAAAAAACTGATGTAAATTCACAGTAGTAATCAATGGTTAAAAGAGAGAATATGAAAGTCTAAATAAAAAAATAAAATCACTATGTACTGTAAAGTGGAAAGTGCTTCAACTTTAAGGAATACATTTCCAGTTTTCACTTTCTCTTACTGTTTTAGGGTGTCAACACTCTATGGGGCCTGTTGAAATTTTAAAGTTGTTACTCTCACCTTGTGGTGCCACCATTAAAATACATTGCTGAGTGATTATGCTGCATGTTTTCCATGAATGGTGGCACTGTCCAACAGTAATAGAGCCTGGTCACATCACATCATGTTGTCATGTGGGAGACAGTAGCTGGTCATGTCCAGATGGGGACATCACATTAGCATTGTCACGTGGGAGACGGGCTGGTCACGTCCCCACTGGCACATTACATTAGCGCTGTCATGCGGAAGACAGGGGCTGGGAACGTCCACATGGGCTCATCACATTAGCATTGTCACGTCCACATGGGCTCATCACATTAGCATTGTCACGTGTGAGACAAGGGCTGGTCATGTCCACATGGGCTCACCACATTAGCATTGTCACATGGGCTCATCACATTAGCATTGTCACGTAGGAGACAAGGGCTGGTCATGTCCACATGGGCACATTACATTAGCATTGTCAAGAGGGAGGCAGGGGCTAGTAACGTCCACATATGCTCATCACATTAGCATTGTCACGTGGGAGACAAGGGCAGCTCACTTCCACATGGGCACATCACACCCAATACTGTCCCTCCTTCCCCTTGATTTACAGAGGCTTCCTTCTGTCACTAGAAAAGTGGTCACTGAGTCTGGTGTGAACTTCAGTTGAAGTTGTGACATCGTCGACGGTTGCAAAGCACCAAACATAATCTTCACACAAGGCCCTAGCAGCTATCACTCATTTAAATGGAAATGAGGAAGTGGGTTAGTGTTAAAATTCAGACTTAAAAGGGGATTTCCTAAATAGAGTTAAAATAAACTTTACGTCCATATAGAGATTAGCTTCTCATCATCAGACCACTCATGAGGAAGCCAAGCCTCCCTAAACGCCATGCCTTAAGGCTCTACTCCACTCAAAGCTGCTTTTAAATCGACACTAAACTCAGGAGTTAAATCTTAAAAATGCATTTAAGTACCTTAACTTTTGACAAAAACGTATCTTATATGTGTATCACTCGGCTGTAGGTCCTCAAATCATCTCTGAATTGGTGCTGACACTGTTCTTCCTTCTGGAGGGGGGCTCCTTTTGTTCCCCATGGTCCTTGTGTGTTTTGTAAAGTAGCCACCAGGCCAAGCTTGATATCACATCCTGACATAATGTGCATCAGGATGTGACATGCAGGGGCATAACTACGATTGTGAAAGACCTAGGGTAAGCTTGAACACCTTGAGGTAGTAATAATGTTATAAGTAATAATGCTACGTGGTGAATGACAGGAGTCGACTCACTGTATACACAAATACGCATACGAAAGTCCTTCAATATCTGCTCAGTGTTCTGTTGTAAAGAGTAGGTGTGGCGAAATTAAGTTGGAT